AATACCTGATGGAACTCACTATGTTAGACTATGATATGGTGCATTTTCCTCCTTCTCAGATTGCAGCAGGAGCTTTTTGCTTAGCACTGAAAATTCTCAATAACGGTGAATGGGTAAGCTCTGTCCCACAGACCTAGGTTGCCCTAAGCTTTTACATTGTAAATAGTATTTGCCTGAATGCAGAACTGTTTTAATTAAAAGACAATTCAGATGATTCCTACATGTGGCATCTATGGAGGGAATGATTAAAAATGATATCCTGTTTGTGAAGTCTTCATAGAATGCTTTCATTTAATTACCTAATTTCATCTTTCTGTATCCCCTTGAGAAAAGCAGAACAGCTGCTACTCTTTATAGATGGAGAAGTACAAGCAAAAAAAATGACATACTAGAAGTTTATTCATATTGATTGATTCAACAAGTATTTCTATGTGCCATGTGCTACCCTCAGCCTAGGAATAGAATTATGAATGAGAAGGTGGGCCTCAAGGAGTTTGAAGTCTAGGTTTGGATTGGACAAGTCAGCAATTACAAAAGTGTATCCGTTTGAGCACATTAGTGTATGATAGGTTTATGGACAGGATCTTAGAGAAGCATGAAAAAAGAATGCCTAGGGAAGAAGGGGTCTTAAGCTTATCTTAAATTTCAGTGATAAGCAGTCTTCCTATCATACTCTTGAATAATATCTAAAAACTTGATGAAAACCATTGTTGATGAGCATTATTAACATTAACTCTTATTGTCACAGACACCAGTTCTACAGCATTACCTGTCATACACTGAAGAATCCCTTCTCCTTGTTATGCAACACCTCGCTAAGAACATAGTCATGGTGAATTGTGGGCTTACAAAGCATATGGTAAGTCAATCAGTGACACTTTGGGATGTTGTGGGGAAAGTGAAAATAAGGCTTCATAGCCTGTACAGTGTGGCTCAGTGGTTGAGCATTGACCCATGAACCAGGAGGACAGGGTTTGATTTCCTGTCAGAGTACATGTCCAGGTTGCAGGCTCCACCTCCAGTAAGGGTCGTGCAAGAGGCAGCAGATAAATGTTTCTCTCTCTGAAAACAAAGTATATTTTTAAATAAAATAAAAAATAAAGACTTCATGCCAGTAAATGCATAGCTTATTTTTAAGGACGTGGTGTTTTATGTCAATGATGAGGAATGCCAGCCATTGAGCCCTATAATGGCCCACAATATCATTTGGTCTGGCCCTGCCAAGGCATTAGGGGTGAGTTAATTAAATGTTCACCCAAATACAGCAGGCTAATTTTTAAATTGGTAATTTAGTGTGGCCCACAAATGATGTTATAAATATCCAAATGGCTCTTGGCAGAGAAAGAGCTCCCCACCCGTTTTACATGAATACCTGTACCACTACTCTTTTTATGTTTTCTCTTTTCCTTCATTAATTACTGTGCTTTTCTCTTCCAGACTATCAAGAACAAGTATGCCACATCTAAGCACGCTAAGATCAGCACTCTAGCACAGCTAAATTCTGCACTAGTTAAAGATTTAGCCAAGGCTGTGGCAAAGGTGTAACTTGTGAACTTGCAAATACAATTAGCACCATGTGCTTTCTGTATATATGATATGTTACATTTACTTTTAATAAAGCTGTGGTCCTTTTTACTTCCTATACCTTAATTCATTTGAATGTGGCTACTTTCTACTCTAGGGTACCTTAAAAGGTGTATTAAAGATATGATGGGGAATATAGAATATAAAAAGTGCTTTCAATTAACTTGGGGACCCAACTAATAATATATATATATAACTGTTGCTTATATGGTTTTTGTTTTATGTATCTGGTACCTGGTTTTTACTTTAATAATACAAGTTACTGAGATCATGAAGGCATTCAAAATTCTTAACTTCCATAGAGCATACTGCAAGTAAGCCCAGTGATCATGGAGCATCTCCTAGCTAGCTGCCTGGTTCTACTTAAAAGTCTGCCACCTCACCCCTAGTCCCCCTGTTCTCTGTTTCTTCTGGTGGTTGATTCCAATAATTCTAATCTAGTTTTACCACTATTTCTTAGATTACCAAATTTAGTGTCAACTTTTTAACTGGAAAAAATAACTTTATATTCTAAACCTAACCTACTTGACTTTTTGTTTGTTGGTTTTATTGGTTGAGAAAATAAATGGGGCTCCTAAAACATACAAAAGTATCTTTAAAATTTTAATTTATCCCTCCCCCAACTTCCTACACCTCAGTCCATCCACCTGAAGGATGTCAACAGTTGGAATGTATCCTTACATGATTTCTATAAACATAATCATGCATGTAAATTGTTGATATTTTAAAAAATAGGACTATTGTACATACTCAGCAATTTTCAACATGTATAGGCCTTAACCTATATTTGCGTATTATATTCCATATACTATAATGTATTCAGTCATTCTCCTGTTGACATTCAGATTGTTTTTTTCTCTGTCTCTATAAGCAATGTTGTTTAAATGTCATTAAATACCATGTTTTGTTAATGTACACTGGGTTCTCCAAAGAGTATGTGTAATCTAATTTCTAGTGGGTGCTGCCAGGGAACTTTCTCAATGTCATCAGCAATGTCAAAAGTGTGTTTTCTCTGCAGTCTTGCCAGAACTATAGGTAACCATCTTCAATTTCTGTGAAGTTGGCAAAAAAAATATTCTACTTTGCTTGCTGTTTTAATTTATACTGCTAAAGGCTACTTGAATAAATTTTTGTTGTCTACTAACTTGTCAAATTGTAAGGCTTTCCCAATTTGTTATTTGCCCTTTAACTTTATTTTATCATCTGCCATTACACTCTTAAAAGTTATATTATTAAATCTATTTTTTTTTCTTGTTGCTTTTGGATTTTCAGTGTTAAGGTCAACTCCATCCCCAAACCATAAATACTTAAGATTTCCCATTTAGATTTTTAATCACTGTGGTCTGAGGTAGGAATCTTTAGATGGGTTCCTATCCATGCCATTACCATATGGTTAAAATCCTGTCCAACTAAACTGAAACATCAATGACCATCTATTGCTTCCTGATCTACTTGTTTTTTCCTGTGATAAACAATGTAAAACTATATTACCTAGACTTAGAATACCAAATCTAGCCTATCACTATTTTTCAGATATGTTGAGCTATTTTCAAACACATGCACTTTAGTATGTTGTTACTAAAGTGTTAGAATTTAATTATATAACTAGAGGCCAGGTACACAATACTCATGCACTGGGGGTGTGGGAGGATCTCTCAGCCAGACCTGCACCTCACAATCCAGGACCCCTTTAGGCATGTCAGCCTGCTGGTTTAGGCCTATTCCCCACAGGGAGCCTAAGCTGGCAGTTGGATATCCCCAGAGGGATCCTTAGCACTGCAGGAGAGGCTCCTACCACCGCTGCTGCACTAGCCAGCAGTGAGCCCGACTTCTGGCTAAGTGGCAGTCCCTCTTTGGGAACGGACTGACCACCAGGGTGCAGCTCCTGCGTCGAGCTTCTGCCACCTGGTGGTCATTGTGTGTCATGGTGACAGGTCATTCCATTGTTCGGTAGTTTTCCATGTTAGGATTTTATATCGGACTAGAGGCCCAATGCACAAAGATTCGTGCAAGAATAGGCCTTGTTGCCGAAGCCGGTTTTGCTCAGTGAATGGTGCCTCTGCCTGAAAACCAAAGGGGCACGGGTTTGATTCGGGTCAAGGGCATATGCCCAGGATTGCAGGCTCAGTCCCTGGAGGGGGGGGGGGTGTGTGTGCAGGAGGCAGCTGATCAATGATTCTCATCATTGATGTTACTATCTTTCTCCCTCTCTGAAATCAATAAAAATAAATAGAATAGTTCCCCCCCCCCAACACCTTCACTTAAGTTTCTGTAAAGATCCATTATTGTAGTGGTTCTCAGTGTTGTTCCTAACCAACAATATCAGTATCACCTGGAACTTGTTAGAAATGCAACTCAGTAATTTAGACTCCTAGCAATACTTAACCAGCCCTTCCATGATTATGATGAAGGCTCAGATTGAAGAACTGTATTGTCTTTGTCCCTAATTTGGCCAGTGAACACCTGATAGGCAACTGCTTCAAAGGATGAAATTGATTTTGGAAGACACCCCAGGGGTAAAGTGGAAAAAACGCACAATGGGATCACTTTTGTGTAAAAAATGGGAAACTATGTTTTTCTAGGAGTTTGTGGGGAGGAGTGGGGAACTAACATTTATATCCTACAGTGCATTTCGAGTCTTTTACCAGAAGCTGTATTTTATAGTGGAGACGAAGGAAGGGGAGCTATGTGATCAAGTATAACTCAGGGAAAACTAGCTGCAGGAGGGAATGCTCCTCCTTCAACCTGGGTGCCCTGTGCTGCACGGGCAGTGTCTCTTACTCTACCGTCCATAATGAAAACCTAGCTCCAGCAGGCATTTACATGTCCTGCATTTCCTCCATTTCCTGCTCACTGCCTAACTAAGAAAGCTCAATTGTAACCCTGCCAAGTCAACAAGCTGACACTTTGAGGCCACCCACCTCTGTCATGAGTGCGAACTGGACCGATAGCGGAATTTCACGTTGGAAGTCTGGGGTTCGAGTTCCGCACTGCCCCGTAGGGAGCCGTGGGTGGGTCTGAACTCAGGCCATCCCCCTAATACTTCTCCTCAGCTACCAGGCACACCCGTTTCCCAGGGCCGGGGGTAGGAGGGGAGTGCGAACACGGGTCAAAGCCGGCCGGCCGCCAATGCCCCGGCCCAGCGCCGAGGCTGAAGGAGCGTTTCCGTCGGGGTCTTACCCTCCAGGCTGCGGTGGGGGCATCCCCAGCGGCTGCAGCCCCGCCTCTAGCCCGGCACTCGGAAGAGCTGACAAGGAAAGCCCTCGAACCTTTTGAACTAGTGGTTTGTATCCATCTCAAACCAGCGGTAGGGCCAGGTTGAAAAGGGACAGCGGAAGCTGTGGCCGCCTAAGGATGAAACGGAAGAGGCGGGCCTTAGGGCGGAAAGGGCGGGCCGTGTGCGCCGGCGCTCCATCCTCTTCCGGTCGTCAGTTTGGTGGCGGGAAAAGGACCTCTTCCTAGGGTGTCAGCCGGTCCCCACGCAGGAGGTTGTTCGCGGGAGCCAGGATGGAGCCGCAGCCCGAGGAGCCGGGCGCCGCCGAGCGCGGGGGCTCCGCGGAGAACCCCATCCCGCTGCTGCTCAGGTCGTTCCCTCTGGCCCGCGGGCCCGGGCTCCGCCTTTCGCGCTACCCTGCCCGAGGATTTCAAATTCAGCCTTGGGCCCTGATGGGCTGCGTGACTGCATCGTTAGATTAAGCTCCTTAAGCTCTTGGTCTTCGAAAAGGAGACCAAATGACACCTCCTACCGCGGTTGCTAAGGGGGATAAGTGAGGAGTCAGCGACAAGCGTCCAACATGGTACTCAGGGCCCCAGACTCAGCCTTCGAAGCTGTAATAGCTATGAGCCTTTCGATCCACAAGCTTCATTTGTATTTTCTGCCAAATAGGGTGTTTGTTTGTTTGTTTGTTTGTTTTTATATAGTGTAGCAGTGATCATTTAACTTATTTTTAAATGTTTTTATTGATTTTTTAGAGAGAGGGAGAGAGAAAAAAAAAAAGCCTTCGAAGCTGTAATGTTCCCCTCCCTTTTTTTTTTTTTTAATATATTTTATTGATTTTGTACAGAGAGGAAGGGAGAGAGAGAGAAACATCGATGAGAGAGAGTCATCGATCAGCTGCCTCTTGCACACCCTCCACGGGGATATGCCCGCAACCAAGGTACATGCCCTTGACCGGAATCGAACCTGGGACCCTTCAGTCCCCAAGCCGGCGCTCTATCCATTGAGCCAAACCAGTCTCGGCTCCCTCCCTTTCTTATCCCCTCACCCTTAGTGCCCCGATTTCTAGAGGGTTGAGGGGTGCATCCAAGCCCTGAGCTACCGGAGGTAGGTTGTCCGCCCCTTTATTTTATAGCTATGAGCCTTTCTTTCTTTTTTTCTTTTTTTTTTTTTTAATATGTTTTATTGATTTTGTACAGAGAGGAAGGGAGAGAGATAGAGTTAGAAACATCGATGAGAGAGAGTCATCGATCAGCTGCCTCTTACACACCCCGTACTGGGATGTGCCCGCAACCAAGGTAAATGCCCTTGACCAGAATCAAACCCGGGACCCTTCAGTCCCCAAGCCGACGCTCTATCCATTTAGCCAAACAGGTTTCGGCTAGCTATGAGCCTTTCGATCCACAAGCTTCATTTGTATTTTCTGCCAAATAGGGTGTTTGTTTGTTTGTTTTTATATAGTGTAGCAGTGATCATTTAACTTATTTTTAAATGTTTTTATTGATTTTTTAGAGAGAGGGAGAGAGAGGAAAAAAACTGATGTGAGAGAGAAACATCCATTGGTTGCCTCCCGTAGGCACCTCTACTGGGGATCCAACCTGCAGCCTGGGTATATGCTCTGACTGCAACCAACCAGCCACCTTGCAGGAACTTCAGCCAATTGAGCCTCGCAGGCCGAGGACCACAGGGTGATTTTTATACCTTTCCACTGAGCCGTTATTAGGGGAAGGTTTGATGAGAAGGGACGGCAATCTCTAAACTAGTGGGCAAACCACAGCCAAGTCCACCTTACTGCCTGTTTTTGTGTGATAACACTCAAGCTAAGAATAGTTTTTATTCTTTAAATTACAAGAATAGTATTTAATAACATGAAAATTAAATAGGATTCAAATTTTATTGCTCTAACTTAAGGAAAGTATTATTGAAGTACTAGAGGCTCGATGCAGGAAATCCGTGCAAGAGTAGGAGTTACTTCCCCTGGCAGCCGACCTGGCTTCCCTCTGGCACCGGCTTCCCTCTGGCACCCGGGACCCAGGCTTGGCTCCGGCCCCAGCTTCATCCAGAAGGATGTCCGGAATGACGTCTGGTATAATTAGCATATTACCCTTCTATAATATTATTATAGATAGCTTTCCTGCTACAAGGGCTGAGGAGAGTATTTACAACAGAGACCATATAACTCACAAAGCCTGAAATATTTGCTGCTTAGTCCTTTACAAAAGAAGTTGGCAGATTCTTCTAAATTAAAACAGGCAGATTTTTAAAAATAAGCACTATAACTGTTTTTCAGGTTTACCACTGCTTTGAAAGGCTTTGGCTAATAAAGCTCACTTTAACAATTTCTACTTGCAATGTAAAATGCTAAAATATTAAAGATAAGAGCTTTCCCCATCTCAGCTGAAAAGGAATGATTCTTTCAGTGTATTTTTAAAATGCTAGCCTGATTAACGTCTAATAAATTGCTCTTTTCATTTGGGATTTTGAAACAAGGTACTGTGCATGGAGCTTTAGGAATTTGTCTAATGTTTCTTAGCTTCTTTGTAACTCAAAGACAAAGCAACAGTTTCAGATTTATGAAACTACTATGAAGTGTGAAACATCTTGTAAGTACAACTTAATAGCTAATTCCCATTTACCCATAGCTTTTCTACTTATTTTAAGTCTGGTTTTGAATTAAGTAGAATCTAGACAAGAAACCTTGAATTACTTATTTATCCAGAAGTTAGTATTCTTGTTATTTTTCTGGATCTCCTAAGCATGTTCCAATCTGGTTGTAACTCATTAGTGTTTGTGACTTCCCTGTTTTGATCTAGCTCTTAGTATAGAAGTTTTCATTAACCCTCACTTCACTGTGGTCCATTAAGAATAAATTAAGCCCTGACTGGTTTGGCTCAGTGTATAGAGAGTCAGCCTTCAGACTGAAGGGTCCCAGGATCGATTCAGGTCAGGAGCATGTACCTTGGTTGCGGGTGCATCCCCATTGGGGGCTGTGCAGGAGGCAGCTCTTCGATGTTTCTCTCTCATCGATGTTTCTAACTTTATCCTTCTTCCTTCCTCTCTGTAAAAAATCAATAAAAAAAAATGTATTTTTTTAAAAAAAAGAATAAATTAAGCCCAGCCAGTTTTCGCTTAGTGGATAGTGAGTCAATACATTTCGCCATCCACTGAGGGTCTCAGTTCAATTCCCATCAAGGGCACACCTTACCTCAGTTGCAGACTCCATTTCTGCCCTGATTGGGGATGTGTGGGAGGCAACTAATCGATGTGTCTCTTTCACACTGATGTTTCTCCCTCTCCCTTTCACTCTCTCTAAAAATCAGTAGAAAAATATCCTCAGATAAGAACCAAAAATATAAAGAAATAAAAATGAAAAATACAGATGATGCATTCTAGAATTGTACCCCTGAAACCTATATAATTGTATTAACCAATGTCACCCCAATAAACATATTAAAAAAGTGAAAAATAAATAAATTTAAATATCAAGTTTTTAACTTTTCTTCACAGGTGCTGTTTACCACTATATTCCATTTTATTGTTTTTCTCTAAGACCCTAAAGTTCTGTATGCCATTTTAAATAAAATGAGGCCAAACTAGGAGACTTTAATGCCGAGTTTATTTATATTCATTTTGTTGCATTAGCCCCCCCAAAATGAGTTGCTTTATCATACAGTAATGAGTAAAACCTCAATAAATATATGACTTTCTCTTTTTTTTAATTCGTTTTCAGGCTGAGGGCACAGACAAAACAACAACTCTTGGAATATAAATCAATGCTTGATGCAAGTAAGTATTTGCATTTTCAGATAAAGTTTTGTGAGTTTGATGATGAGCAGTACCCTAGTGAAAAGAAAATCAACTTTACAAAAAATTATTTACTTGGGTACTAGGAGTGACATCATAATGCTATATTATACCATGTAAGAAGGCAAAAATCAGCTTGCCCTGCCCATCGGAATTAGTTAGGAATTTGGGAAATAGATATTAAACAATTAAATAACAATACAAGGCAATTAAGTTCTGTTGATCAAAGAATTGAGAAATCCTGGTGGGCTTAAGAAATCAGAATTTGCTATGCCATCAACAACTTTGAAGATTGAATTAGCAGATAAGATAATTATGAAGCAAGTACTCTGAGACCTATACTTTGTTTATTGTGGTTGTTTGTTTTTTTGGGGTTTTTTTGTTTGTTTGTTTTTGAGACCTATACTTTGAAAAGAACTGGATAATAGGGGATTTTTAAAAAATGTGTTTATTGATTTGAGAGAGGAAAACATGGATTAGCTGCCTGAAACCTGAGCATGTGCCTTGACCAGGAATGGAACAGGTGACCTCTCCATGCATGGGACAGTGCTCAACCCATTTAGCCACACTGGCCAGGGCTAAATTGATAGAATTTTAACTGGAATTTGATTAGTATCTTTGGATCAATATGGGGGAAATTGCTACATTTCTCCCATATCTTTCCATGAAAATATTTGATAGTGTTCAATGTAGAGGTCATACACATATTTTGTTAAATTGATTCTTAACTATTTCATGTTTTTTAATTGTCCATGGTATTTTTAAACTTTAATTTGTACAAAAATAGTTAATTTTTTAAAAACATATTTTATTGATTTTTCACAGAGAGGAAGGGAGAGGGATAGAGAGTTAGAAACATTGATGAGAGAGAAACCTTGACCAGCTGCCTCCTACACACATCCTACTGGGGATGTACCTGCAACCAAGGTACATGCCCTTGACGGGAATGGAACCTGGGACCTTTCAGTCCACAGGCCGATGCTCTATCCACTGAGCCAAATCGGTTAAGGCAGTTAATTTTTTAATATTGCTCTTGTTCATTTTTTACTCCCGTTTATTTTCTATAATTCTAACATTGTTTCATCCAATATGGTAACCACCTGCTCTGTTACTGTTGAACACTTGTAATGTCTTTGGTCCTCATTGAGAAAGCCTCTAAATAATAAAATAAGCACAGAAGAAAAGCTTGTGAAATATTTCATTATTAATTTTAAATTGACTACATGTTGAAATGATACTATTTTGCATCTATTCGGTTAAGTAAGGTATATTAAAATTATTTTTACTTGTTTACATTTGTAATGTGGAAACTAGAAAATAAAAATTACATACTTGGTTTGTATTTGTGACTTACATTATATTTCTGGACAGCACTGTTTTAAAATGTTACTAACTTCGAATAATTATTTATTTGTAGATGAAGAAAAAACTCCCGAAGAAATCATTCCAGAAAAGCAAATTGAAAAGTAACTTTGTGGTTTTTACTAAGATTTAATAATAATATCTGTCTTATACCGTAACTTTATTTCCCTCCTCCCTCCCTCCCCTTTCCCAAGTAATTTGTCATGCATGTATTGAGAACTTGTTGACACAGGATTATATCCTGTGATCCTATTAGCACTTTTGGCATTTCCTTTAAGATATTTATTAAAGTATTTCAGGAGGCATCAGTTTACCAAATCTGTAAGTGTATTGGTGTGGCAAGTCTATAGTAAAATACTTTCATTTAGGTAGAGGCATTTTACTTTTTTCAAAGGTTTACTTGAACATTTATTCCAATAATGCCTTTTACTGATATTGCTGAAATTCTTTTGTTTATGCTTCTTTGATAGTAAAATTGAAGACCTAGAAAATGAAATCGAAAAGGTGAAAATTGCTTTTGAAATGAAAAAGCTTGCATTGGACAGGTAATTTTTAAATTTCAGGTATAAGCATTGTGAACTGAAAGCAAAATTGCTTGAGGTAGAGAAAAGAATTTAGTTTAAATGAGCAAAATGATGATTAGATAATGGTCACACAAATTTTGATCCTTGAGAGAAGTTAAATCATTCATTAATATCTTTATTTGAAAAAGTTATATGAGGGTTAATAAGGAAATATTAATCAAGGCAATAGAAATTTGAGGTTAAATCCCACTCAATGTTGAAAGGATTACATGGATTTGATTATTCTAGTAACTGTTAATTGAGTAAAAAAATTGTCACCAAGTTTAAAGTATATTTTTAATTATAAGTTTTGAGTCCATATTTAAAATTTATTCAACAAATATTTGAGTGCTTATTATGTTCTAAGTTTTACACTAGGTGTTGGTATACCATTGTTTTTTTTTGAAATATATTTTATTGATTTTTTACAGAAAGGAAGGGAGAATAGAGAGTTAGAAACATTGCTGAGAGAGAAACTTTGATCAGCTGCCTCCTGCACACACCCCCTACCGGGGATGTGCTCACAACCAACGTACATGCCCTTGACCGGAAACGAACCTGGGACCCTTCAGTCTGCAGGCTGACTCTCTATCCACTGAGCCAAACCGGCCACGGCAGCATACCATTGTTAATCAAATAAATATGGTTTCTTATATATTTTGTGATCTGACTAATTTCAAATAAGTGAATAACTTTTAAAATTACTATCTTATATTCCTGGTCTTCTCAGAGGAATTTTTTTTATATATTTAATTGAAAAGTAATTAAAGCACTTTTCATTGTTTCAAACAGTGAGTTTTTCCCCTCATCTCACATGCTGGCTTGTTATATATCATAGATCGTATTTTTTCACTAAAATGACTTCAGAGGTATTAAGAGATCTCCTTTTAATGAACTGAATTTTCTTGTGTGTGACATAATGAAAGGGCTCTCATATTGCTGAGCTGATGGCCTTTTTTTTTTTTTTTACTTAGTTAGTAGCTGTTTGAATTTGAAAGTGATTTATGTAGCTTGTTGGTATGTAGGCATATGTCAAATTCACAGTTCAGTGTGGCTTTGTACTCCCTGGCTCTCCAGGCAGGCCCTGTTGATCTCCAGTGCTATAATGCTGTGTTGCTTCCTCCTGGCACCAAGGTGGACGGCTTGGGGAACAAAGCTCAGGCTGGATAACTCAGCCCCTCAGCCTGTCAATGCACAACCACATGCAACAGTCCCAACTATCTTAGTGTTATTTCATATTTCTGTGATTTATTTATCATACAATACTGTTTTTAAGTCTACTTGTTTTACATTATATTTAACAGAAATCAATCTTTAACTTGTCACATATTAAAATTTTCTTTTTCAGTGTACCATAAATGTTATCTATGCTTTGTAAGGCAAGCTTTTTCTTCCTCATAGGATGCAGCTTTCAACGGCACTTAGAAAAAACCTGGAGGACAGTAACATTCAGACTAGGTATTATTTTTTTTTTTTCCTGTATTTGGTAAGGATGGGAATAAGAAAGGGCATCTGCATAATGAGTTTTGTTTCTTGATTATTTAAAATGATTTTAGAGCCGGGTCCGGTTTGGCTCAGTGGATAGAGCGTCGGCCTGCGGACTGAAAGGTCCCGGGTTCAATTCCGGTCAAGGGCATGTACGGTACCTGGGTTGCGGGCACATCCCCAGTAGGGGGTGTGCAAGAGGCAGCTGATCAATGATTCTCTCTCATTGATGTTTCTAACTCTTTATCCCTCTCTCTTCCTCTCTGTTAAAAAATCAATAAAATATATTTTTTAAAATGATTTTAGAGAGAAAGGAAGAGAGAGGGGGGAGAGAGAGAAAAACCCATCGGTTGCCTCCCATATGCACCCTGACCTGGAATCAAACACTTGACCTTTCAGTCTATAGGTCAATGCTCCAACCAACTGAACCACACCAGCCAGGGCTCGTGATTTTTAAAAAAATTAACTATCACTGCCAATCACTTTTTTTTAAAATATATTTTACTGATTTTATACAGAGAGGAAGGGAGAGAGATAGAGAGTTAGAAACATCGATGAGAGAGAGTCATCGATCAGCTGCCTCTTGCACACCCCCTACTAGGGATATGCCCACAACCAAGGTACATGCCCTTGACCGGAATCGAACCCGGGACCATTCAGTCCCCAAGCTGAAGCTCTATCCATTGAGCCAAACTGGTCCCGGCTGCCAATCACTTTTATCTGGGGAATAAGAAAAGTAACAGAATTTTTGTGGACCTTCCTCACTCAGCATTACAACAATTTTTACAGTCCTGCTGGCATCTTGTTCATAATGCAATGCTAAGAAACAAATTAGGTTTTAAGGAAGATTTGAAAGTTAGTTTTGTGCACTATTTACTGAAAACCAAGAACAATGCTATCTCATTTAATCCAATAGCAACCCAATGATAGATATAAAGTATACTCTTTATTTTTCATTGGCAGAAATGAGCTTGTATATGTTAATTTGCCAAGGAATATATAGTAAAGACTCTGGCAGTCAAGATACTCTATAATCTGACCTAAATATCTTGCCATAGGAGCCTTACCTGTGATCTTACCTCCCAAAGGTCTAAAATTCTTTGATGTAGAATCCCCTCCCATGAGAGTAGAAAAATTCTAAGAAGGATCTGGTCACTTCTCCTATCTTAGTTCAGACTCCTACACATTCTCCCCATATTCCATTTAAATCTAGGGTTACATAGATCCTAAAATCTTAATTTGAGCTCATTAACTATTGCTACCCATAAATGAACTTAAAACATTCCTTGGGTGTGAAGAGAGCAGACCACCTGAAGAATGGCTCTTCTGTGTATAACACATCCAACAGCAGCTTAGGCTTACTCCTCCCGTCTGGCAGGAGGCTATGACTTTCTCTGACATTACCCCTATATATATTAAATTGCGGACCAATCATGAGGATTCTCATGTTTTCATATTACACAGTGTTTTGCAAAGTATCATATTTTTTAAAAAATATATTTTTATTGATTTTTTACAGAGAGGAAGGTAGAGGGATAGAGAGTTAGAAACATCGATGAGAGAGACATCGATCAGCTGCCTCCTACAAACCCCCAACTGGGGATGTGCCCACAACCAAGGTACATGCCCTTGACTGGAATCGAACCTGGGACTTTCAGTCCGCAAGCCGATGTTCTATCCACTGAGCAAAACTGGTTTCAGCAAAGTATTATACTTAAAAAGATATTAGCTTGTAAGAATATGTAATAAATAACTTCAAAATGTAATGGGCATTTAATTTTAAGGCGTGCCTTTAACATTTATGTAAAATGTTTTTTGTACTCGTCAATAGAAACTTACCTCGACACTGGGTAAAGGAAGCAATAAAACTACTGGCCTGCAATGTGTTTAAAAAAAAAAATTTCTTGAGTTAAAGGAGCACGGGATAGGTTCATCATAAACTTTAAAACCAAGTATGGTTATAACCAGTAGAAAATTAGTTCAGATCTTCCACATCTGTGTAAACATTCCTTTTTCAGCCTCTGTACTACACTCCTACAATATCAGAATAATTAGTACTTTCATAGTGACCACATTGCTGATCCCATTCAGACCTACTGACTCTGAATCTAAAAACCAAGGTGTGGCCCTAACCGGTTTGGCTCAGTGGATACAGCATCGGCCTGCGGACTCAAGGGTCCCAGGTTCGATTCCGGTCAAGGGCATGTACCTTGGTTGTGGGCACATCCCCAGTGAGGAGTGTGCAGGGTGCAGCTGATCAATGTTTCTCTGTCATCAATGTTTCTAGCTCTCTATTCCTCTTCCTTCCTCTCTGTAAAAAGTCAATTACGGTAAATATATTTAGTTAGTAAATAAATACATACATACACACATACCAAGCTGTGGGGGTTGGTGGAGAGAGCAGCTGGCAGTCTACATTTAATAAGCCTCTCAAGGGGTTGTGGCACTTTGAAGTAGAACTGTTTTTCACACCTTTGGCTCTAGCCATTCTAAACTACTTGAGTTAAATTACTTCATGTCCTTTAAGGTTGATGTCCCTTGCTCCACTCTGCACAATTCTTAGAGTGGTTCATATCCATTACCGGTTGTAGTCAAACCATCCTACAGTTGTAGATTTATTTTTCTCCCCCACCAGGTTCTTTGCTCTTCGAAAACAAGTATTGTGTTTTATTCTATTTTACATTCCTAGTGCCTGGCACAGTTCTTGATATGTTGTAGTTACTCAGAAATATTTGTTGCCAAAACTGGTTTGGCTCAGTGGATAGAGCGTCAGCCTGTGGACTGAAAGGTCCCGGGTTTGATTCAACTGACCAATGATTCTCTCTCATCGATGTTTCTAACTCTCTATCCTTCTCTCTTCCTCTCTCTAAAAAATCAATAAAATATATATTTTTTTAAAAAAATATTTGTTGAAGAAATGGGGATAAAAAGCAGCTTATTCAGTGAACTATTCTGTATGATACTGTAGTGGTGGAGTCATGTCATATTTGTCAAACCCATAAAAAGTACAACATTCCCTCCCACTGTTTCTATAAAAATCAGTGGGAAAAAACATGCTCAGGTGGGGATTAACAAAAAATAAAAGTGTGTTTTTTACAAAAAGCAACTTATTAGCAAGTTTTTGGAATTTTTTGTCCTCCTTAAAAATGACGTTTTTAGAAATATTTTTACATGCTTAAATTTGACATTTTTTATTGTCCATGACCAAACTTTTTCCTAGGAAAATGCATCTTTAAAAAAATTTTTTTTAATATATATATTTTTTTATTTCAGAGAGGAAATAAAGGGAGAGAGAGATAGAAACATCAATGATGAGAGAATCCATTGATCAGCACACACCCCATTGGGGATTGAGCCTGCATCCTGGTCATGTGCCCTTGGCCGGAATCAAACCTGGAACCCTTCAGTCTGTAGGCCAACGTTCTATCCACTGAGCCAAACCAGTTAGGGCTGCTTCTCTACTTTTAAACAAAAATCTAGTTTATGATATATCAAGTGATGACTTCCTATTGAAATATATTAATGAAAGTAAATATGTACTACTTGATTCCTTAATGAAATTTATTACTTTTAACTAAGGTTAATCTATTTTTTATTTCTTTTCAGTGAGCTCATGGACAACATGAACCACATATTAAAGCTAAATAAAATAATAATGAAATTACAGCAGGTAACTTTACGCTACTAATGCATTCTCATGATTTCAGTAATACTTTCTTGCTGGTAACTGCATTATGTATGATTAAATAGAATAGCCCAAAAGGACAGGTATGGTTGGAGTTTACTGTTCTTAAGTTTTCTTTCTCTCTTCATAATTCTATTATTTTTCACTAATATTGCTAAGTGAGCCAAACCGGTTTCGGCAATATTGCTAAGTATTTATAATTTAACACAGTAAGCACCCTGTAGATCACGGGTGGCTGACACTATACTTTCCTTCTGAAAGACAAAACAGGCTGGGCGCTTCACATGTTAAGCTACTGTCTCCTCTCTTGATGTGTGGAAATGAAGGAATTAGTAACAGGAATTTTAGAAAACATGAACTAAGATAAAGTTCAGTAATGTAGTATTACAGGTTTGTTCTTAGGTAAGGTCTCTTAATTTTTTTTTTCTATTAATAGGAATCTTGGGATTTGGAGGAAAAATTGCTTGATATTAAAAAGAAGAGATTTGGTATGTAGAACAATTTTGGTCGTTTGTTTTTTGTATAACACATTTTTACTTACTATGGAGATTGATGAGGGCACATCTCTTGGCTACTGAGAATTTTTTTTTAATTCATTAATTTTTTTAGAGAGAGGAAAAGAGAAGGGTAGAGAGCCAAAAAGGTATCCTCTTTGGCACAATGGCACTTCAAACACTTGTCAACAGCTATTATTGTCATACATACAAACCTTGAAAATTTTCATTACTAAATATAAAATTACACTATTGGTATTTTTTATCAGGGAAGCCATATTTAGATCAAAATAGAACTGCAACCTAATATGCTCCTCATTAAAATAAATTTCTTTACTGAAATAACCATCATTTTTAAAGATTCTTGTTTGTAGGAGTTAGCATATATAGTATATTGTTTTATTTTTAACCTCACAGAATTAAAACGAGCTTCAGAAAGTAAATTTTTAGAAATACAGACTGAAAAGAACAAACAGAATGATGATTTGGCCAATATGGAAAATTCAGACAAGATGAAGACTTTACAACAAAAGCTACAGAAGGAGATACAAATTACTACAGTTATTCAACATGTCTTCCAGGTAAAATGTATATAAACTAGGAAGTGGGGTAAGAACTTTAAAAAAAAAAAGTAATTGATTCTGTTACTTTCAGACTTACTTTCAGTTAGTCTTTGATCTTGACAAAATAATTCTGTACTGCCCTGGCCGGTGTTGTTCAATGGATAGACGTCTGCTTGTGCACCAAAGGATCTTGGGTTTGATTTCTGGTCAAGGGCTCATATTTGGGTTGCATGCACATGTTTCTCTCTCTCTCTCTCTCTTTCTCTCTCTTTCTCTCTCTCTCTCCCTCTCTCTCCATCCCCCCCCTCCACCCTCCTTTCTTTCCAAACTCTCTAAACAATAAAATAAAATCAATGGAAAAAATATCCTCACAGTAAGAATTAACAAAACAAAAATATTCTGTACTAAAAATTAGTCTGTTTACATATATCTGAAATACATGTGTATTTAATGTTTAAGGCCTCGATTTTTCTTTTTTTTAAAAATATATTTTATTGATTTTGTACAGAGAGGAAGGGAGAGAGATAGAGAGTTAGAAACATTGATGAGAGAGAGTCATCGATCAGCTGCCTCTTGCACACCCCCTACTGGGGATATGCCCGCAACCAAGGTATATGCCCTTGACCGGAATCGAACCCGGGACCCTTCAGTCCCCAAGCCGACGCTCTATCCATTGAGCTAAACCGGTCTCGGCAAGGCCTTGATTTTTCATTATGGCAATTTAAGTGGAATGATTTTTAACAGCTCTGGGGGGGCAGAATGATATAATGATTGCGAGCACTAAACTGCAAGTTGGGAGTTGGGGGAAAACATGGACAGGTTGATGAGAATCTACACTTAAGATCCTGACTGCTACTTAATAGAAAAAAGAATCATTTTCATTTTCTTTGGCACATATTCCTTCTTACTGCTTTGCAGTTTCTGTTATTCTGCATTTCTTAATTTTTATGTTCTCAAAATTGATGTTAATCTTGGTTTAATGGATTTATTGCAATATTTAATATTATAGAACATAGATTTGGCCAACTTGGGAGCTCTTGGTTCCAAAAGGAAGATCAGCCTTCGAGGGTTGTCATGTTGAATGCCTTCTTTCATCTGCTTCAGTAAATCTAACTGAATTTATATACACAAGCTCTTTTATTCATTTCTAGCAAGAATTTGCCTTACATAGGCCAAAGTTTTATATATTTTATATGTAATAATATACCACTTATTCTCTAAAATTGATTTTAACAATATTTCATTTAGTAACTCAGTATCATTGAGTCATAGGTTTCAAAGAATAATGACCAGCCGAAACCAGTTTGGTTCAGTGAATAGAGCGTCGGCCTGCGGACTGAAAGGTCCCAGGTTCGATTCCGGTCAAGGGCATATACCTTGGTTGCGGGTACATTCCCAATAGGGAGTGTACAAGAGGCAGCTGATCAATGATTCTCTCTCATTGATGTTTCTAACTCTCTATTCCTTTCTCTTCCTCTCTGTAAAAAATCAATAAAATATATTTAATAAAAAAAAGAATAATGACCAGAATTTTCATTAATTATGGCTCTAATCTTTCCTCCATTGTCTACCACAAGAAAATGTTCTTCACCTTTTTCAGGGTCTTGAAACTTTACAAAGACTAAGAACTAAGCTCTTCTTTTACCTCTTTTTAAAAATAGGACATATTACTTAGGCTTAAATTGTTATTCATCATAGAAGTATTAAGTGAATTCTGAACCACAGTTATCATCTTTTCCCCATAATGTAGGCTGCCACTGCAAATATCTTTAATAGGTAAAAACCCACAAAAATGGATAAAGCATAAAAATTGCTAGCATTATAAATTCTGGCATTATGGGAATCAAGGTTGAAGCCTTGCTGAAAAGTGCAAATGAGGATACAAGAATGTGTTACTTGCCCTGGGTGTGGCTCAGTTGGTTGGACATGGTCCCATGAACGAAAAAGGTTGCTGGTTCGATTCCTAAGCAGGACTCATGCCAGGTCTTGGGCTCAATCCCTGATAGGAATCCTGCAGGAGGTAGCTGATGAATGTACCACTCACATCAGTGTTTCTCTCTCCCCACCTCTCCTTCTACAGTAAAAAAATAAATAAATAAAAAGAATGTATTACTAGTTTTTCTCATGATCAGAGAGTAAATCTTCATACCTAGTTTGGTAATTATGTAATAAGATCAGTGAAAGAGGATTTTTTAAAAGCTTGTTACATTTTTTAAAATAAGTTTTTATTGATTTCAAAGAGAGAAAGGGAGAGGGAGAGTTAGAAACATCAATGATGAGAATCACCAATTGGCTCCCTCCTACCCGCCCCTACTGGGGATGGAGCCTGAAACCTAGGCACGTGCCACGATCGGGAATCAAACCCTGACTTCCTGGTTCATGGGTCATTCATGGGTCAGTGCTCAACCACTGAACCATACCAGCTGGGCAAAGCTTGTTAACATTTTATTTTTATTTTATTTTTTTTATCCAAAATGTGTTTATTGGGATGGTTTCCCACTCATCTTGATTTGAGGTGCTTTTAGTGCTGCTTCCTTCTGAAGGAGCATCCTTCTGTAAACCTTGCTTTTCCTCCTGTTGGCTGACAGAGAACAGTGGAGCAACCAACACACAAAACTACCGTTTGTGCGTGGCTAAAGACGGTGGTGATTTTATAGCATCCTGGGCATTTGACACCCATGAAGTAGGAATTGGGGCTCTGCACCAGGCGCTTCTTCTTGTGTTTCCTCTTCTCCTCTTCCGGAGAGAGATGGAGGAGATCCTTGGCGAGAGGCATATTGTCGTGGGGAGGTCGTCACCGCCAGAAAGCTATTTTATTTTTTTTAAATATATTTTATTGATTTTTTACAGAGAGGAAGGGAGAGAGATAGAGAGCTAGAAACGTCAATGAGAGAAACATAAACCAGTTGCCTCTTGCACACCCCCTACCTACCGAGGATGTGCCCACAACCAAGGTACATGCCCTTGACGGAATCAAACCCGGGACCTTTCAGTCCGCAGACCAATGCTCTACCACTGAGCCAAACCGGTTTCGGCAGCTTGTTAACATTTTAAAAGTACAAAGAACATATATACATAACAATAGACATAGAAAATAGTGATGTAATAGCGAGAGGGAAAGGAGAGGGCATGGGCTGGGTGGAGGTGCGAAAATTGTGGAGAAATAGGGATATCAATAACTGTCAAAAATAAAGTTAAAAAATACTTAAAACTTTAATTTAAAAACTTTTTTTTTTTATATTACAGAACCTCATTTTGGGGAGTAAAGTCAATTGGGCAGAGGATTCTGCCTTTAAAGAAACTGTTCTGCAGCTTGAGAAGAATCTCACCATGATCTAAAAAGAATTCTGTTTTGGCATTACTTGTTTCTGTCTATAATGTGTCATTTAAATAGTAAATTTCAGGTGAAATGTGTGATTTTCAGTGTTTTTGTAACTATTATACACAGCTTTTTTAAATAAAAAAAAAAAAGCTTACCAGTATAATATGGAATCTATTGCTTTAAATATGGTCATTAAAATGACTGGCATCCTCAAAAAGAATCTGAAGATTTTAGCCTTGCAAGCGTCTGGAAGGACATCAACTAGTCCAGCTTTCCGCCAATGTGGACATTTTTTCCTACATCCCTACAAGTTCCAACTCCTCCATGCATTTTTTTTGTCAACCAAAATACTAGAAAAATTAGAAAAGTATACCCACAACTTTATTTTCATGGCTGTCAGTTGTATTTTATTCAAGTAAATCTTATTTTAATTTACCTCACTACAAACTTTTTTAAAATATGTATTTCTTTATTGATTTGAGAAAGGAAAGGAGGAGAGAAACATCAATGATGAGAATCATTGATTGGCTGCCTCCTGCACGCACCCTGCTGGGGATCAAGCCTGCAAACTCAGGCATGTGCCCCTGGCTGGAATGGAGCCTACCCTTCAGTCCACAGGCTGACATTCTATCCGTTGAGTCAAGCCAGATAGGCTCCAAACTTTTTTTATTGGGAAAAAATTGATATATAACATTGTGTAAGCTTAAGGTGTACAGCATGTTGAATTAACCACCATGGGTTTAGCTATCATCTCCATCATGTCACATAATTTTTTTTGTTGTGAAAATATTTAGAATCTAGTATCTTAGCAAATTTGAAGTGTATAATACAGTTGTGTTAGCTGTAATCACAATGCTATGCATTATATATCCAAAACTTACTCAAATTCTACCTGTAAATTTGTACCCTTTGACCAACATCTCAATTCCCAAATCTATCTATATCTTTAAAGAGGCTCAAATGCACCTCAGCCTTGAAGAAAAACATATTTAGAAGAATTGTGACTTTTTTCTTTTGTATTTATGTTTATCATGCTAACTTCTATAAGTTAAAAAAACAAATGTTACTTTTCTAATTCAAAAACATAATTTGCCACTTTTTATTCATCCCATTCCAACTTTTGTAAATTCTGATTTGAGCTCTTTATTAATTTGGAGTTGTTGATCATTTTTATAGACAATGTGTTTTTAGCATTCTTTAAAAGACTAAACAACTTGAGAAGATGTGCTGCAGGTGTAATAGCATTTGAAATCTGTTATTTAGGTCAATAATAAAAATACAGAGATTTGCCTTCAGTTGTATACCAAACATTTATTTGGAATATGTATAGTGTTACTTCATTTCTTTTGATAAATCATATTTATTTGTAATTTTGTTCTTTTTGCCTCATCATATGCTTGGAAATTGTCAACATAAATTGTAAAGCAGTATTTTTCTTCTAGAAAAACATTCTAGCCCAGCTGGTGTTGCTCAGTAGTTGAGCATGGACCTATGAGGGCAGATGTATGGGTTTCAACTGATCCCTAGGGGATGTGCAGGAGGCAGCTGATCAGTGATTCTCATCATTGATGTTTGTGCCTCCTTCTGAAATCAACAAAGAAATATAAAATTTTAATAATGACTCTGTCGCCGAAACCGGTTTGGCTCAATGGATAGAGCATCGGCTTGGGGACTGAAGGGACCTGGGTTCGATTCCGGTCAAGGGCATGTTGCGGGCATATCCCCGGTAGGGGGTGTGCAAGAGGCAGCTGATTGATGACTCTCTCATTGATGTTTCTAGCTCTCTATCTCTCTCCCTTCTTCTCTGTACAAGATCAATAAAATATATTTTAAAAAATAATAAAAAATAAAATAAAAACGACTCTGCCCCTGGCTGGTTTGGTTCCATGGATAGAGCGTAGGCCTGCGGACTGAAAGGTCCCAGGTTCGATTCTGGTTATAGGCTGGTGAGAAGAAATTTTTTAATAAGATTAACTGTAATACATGTTTTAGTGTTAGTTTCCCAAGCTTTTTTTCCTCTTGAATTTAAATGGCAGCCTGAGGAAACACACATTAAACCACATACCCAGTAGGGGCTGTGCTGGAGACATCCGATCAATGATTCTATCTCTCATTGATGTTTATCTCCCTCTTCCTCTGAAATCCATAAAAATATTTAAAAGATTTGTTTCTATCATTAAGGAAAGAAACATTGTTAAATGTCTTCCTGATCCAAAATTGCAGCATTAAATGAATCCGCTGCAAATCATTCTATTAGTGATTCCCAAATCAAGAGAGTATCAGTATCATCTGAAAAACTGCATTTTCCTGGGCTTGGATTATCCTGTGTGTTCCCTCTGAAAGTCCAAGTCAGAAATAACTGGCTGAAGAATTGGATTAAACTCTAGGCTGAAATTAGAAACTGGCTTTCTGGAGAGGAAACGGTCCTGTATTACTCATGGCTAACGAGCAAAATAAACCCAACATCACCAACCCTCGCCTGCAAAGGGAAGCGATGGGAAACACACGGGTTCCGGTCGGGAAGGGGGCGGAGGAGCGGCCCGCGGGCCCCGCCTCTGTGACGCTCATAAAGGGCCCGCCCCCCGGCCGCCCGGGGCTCCGGTATCGCCGCGGCTCGCGAGCGCCCCGGAAGCTGCCCCTGCTCGGGGTCGCGATGGGCAGCAAGATGGCGTCGGCCGGCAGGGTCGTGCAGGTAAAGCGGCCGACCGCCTTCCCGCACGGAGGGCGGCGGGGAGGGTGCTGTGTGGAGGGGAGGCGCCGGGAGGGAGAGCGGCGGCGGGGGCTGTGCGGCGGCCGCGGCGGTGAGCGGGGCCGGCGGCGCCGCCGGGGAGGTGAGAAGCAGACCAGCAGCCCGATGGGTCGGGGAGCAAACCGGTGGCCGGAGTGGAGGGATAGGGCCGGACCGCGGGGATGGCGCGGCGCAGCAGGTGGGCACATGGCTGCTCTGGGCCCCCGCGCTGTCCTCCGCGAGGACCTTGCAGCCCCCCGGGAGCCGGCGGGCTGGGCTGCGGGCCGCCGCCGGCCAATCGGCGTCCGGGATAGTCTGCGACGGCCCGGCCCAGCCAATCAAAGCGAGGCGGCAGCGGCCAGTGCGAGGAAGCCAACCCCGTCCTGACCCCGCTCTCCCTTCAAGGTCTTGGGAACAGGCCGAGAGCGAGTGGTGCCCTTGACCTGCACTGGGTCTCCCCCACCAACTCAGAGGTCTGCTTATAGGCCGGATGGGAGGGAATTTTTTAAAAAAAGATTAACTATAATACATGTCTAGTGTTGGTTTCCCAAGCTTTTTTTTTTTTTCCTCTTGAGTTTAGATGGCAGCTGAAGGAACTACACATTAACCCACACACGTTGATTAACTCCTGGTAGCTTTTCTTCTCTAGCTGTGGTCTCGAGCTTAACTAGGAAAGGTGAAATTGGATATAAAGGGACGTAACTTCCACTTTGGTGGTTGGTGTTCATGATCTTTTTCAGCTCTGAAAGTGTATTGTATTATTAACTTTGATATGAGAAGTGCTTTTCTCTTTGCATACGGTAAGTGTATTTCTTTAAATTGTGTCAGTCTGCCCTAGCCGGTGTGACTCAGTTGCACCAAAAGGTTGTGGGTTGGATTGTTCCATTCCTGGTCAGGTCACAGACTGGGTTGCTGATTTGATCCCCAGTGGGAACCCTCGGGAGGTGTAACCCATCTCAGTGCTTCTCTTACATCTCTCTCTCTCTCCTTTCATACCCCCTCAAGTCCCTCTCTCTCTAAAATCAATTACCATGTCCTCAGGTAAAGATTACAAAAAAAAAAAAAAGAGTCTGAAAGATAATCCCAGATCCCAGTCTTTTAGTCCCTTGCAATGAATGATCCTCATTTACTCATTTATTGGATAGTTATTGAGCATTAACTAATTAAAGATTGTTGGGATACAGCAACCAGTTCTTTGACAGATGTTTGCTGTATCCCAACAATCTTTAATTAGTTAATGCTCAATAACTATCCAATAAATGAGTAAATGAGGATCATTCATTGCAAGGGACTAAAATCTATCTATCAATCTATCTATCTATCTATCTATCTATCTATATATATCCCAATTTTAAAATGGGGTAAAAAAATCATTTTGCACAAAAGAAGATATCCAAATGAGCAATAAGCCTGTTCTTATATAGCTATTAACCTTTGGTCTGTTATGAATTTTTTTTTAACTAGTTGGTATTTTTAAATTTGGATTTTTTTTTTTTGATGTGTTAAAGATCTTAATTTGCTTTTTAGTGCAGTCCAAATTATCACATTTTTTTCCCATTATAGGGGAAAGGGTGATGAAATAAGATTGATTGTATTACTGTTGAAGTTGTGTAATGTGTTTATCAGGGCTTATCACCCTACTCTCTCTACTCTTATGTATTTTTAATTATTTTTTAAAATATGTTTTTAGTGATTTCATAGAGAGAAAGGAAGCAGGAGACAGAAACATCAATGGTGAGAATCACTAATTGACTGCCTCCTGCACAGCCCCCCCTGGAGATCGAACCCACAATCCAGGCATGTGCCCTGACCAGGAATGGAACTGTGACCTCCTGATTCATAGGTCCATACTCAAACACTGAGCCACACCAGCCTTGCTATGTATTTTTTTAAAAAGGGGATCTCAAAAAGTGTGGGAATATAACCTATAGGGCATATTATTGTACATTATAGTTTTATATATTCAAATGCAATGTTGAAATGGATTCTTCCTCTCTGATGTACAGTGTATCTCAGAGGTGGATAAAAGTAGGTTTACAGTTGTAAGTATGGGAAATACAATTTATTCTTGTATGTATCAGGTATTTGTATTACAACTGTAAACCTACTTTTGCCTACCCCTGTATTGTTAAGTGTTTGTCTATATACTTACATTAGAGGCCCGGTGCACGAATTTCGTGCGGGGGGGGCCGGGGGTAGAGTGTCCCTCAGCCCAGCCTGCATCTCTCCAATCTGGGACCCCTCGAGGAATGTCCCACTGCCCATTTAGGCCCACTGGGATCGGACCTAAACGGGTGGTCGGACATCACTCCCACAATCCAGGACTGCTGGCTCCCAATTGCTTGCCTGCCTGCCTTTCTGATTGCCCGTAACCACTTCTGCCTGCCAGCCTAATCACCCCCTAACCACTCCCATGCCAGCCTGATTGATGTCTAACCGCTCCCCTGCCAGCCTGTTTGCCCCCAACTTCCCTCCTCTGCTGGCCTGGCCACCCCTAACTGCCCTCCCCTGCAGTATTGATCACCCCCAACTGCCCTCCCTTGCAGGCCTGGTGCCTCCCAACTGCCCTCCCTTGCTGGCCCTGGTATCTGGAATTTATTTACATTCTACAATTGAAACTTTGTAACCTGGAACAGAGCCAAGCCTTCTGCTTGCTCTGTGGCTGCTGCCATTTCTGTTTGGATTTGTTTACCTTCTATAACTGAAACTTTGTAGCCTTGAGTGGAGGCTTAGGCTGGCTAGGGCAGGCGGAAAGCTTGGCTTCTTCTGATTGGCTGGTGGGCGTGGCTGGTGGGTGTAGCAGAGTGATGGTTAATTTGAATATTACTCTTTTATTAGGTAGGATGCCTATATACTTAGGACTACCATACAAATAGTCTATTCACTCATTTGGCAGGTGTTTCTTGAGCACTTATTATGTAATGTATCAGGCACTGCTGCAGAAGTGCTTAGCTCTCTGACTCTACCTTCCCAGGAGCTTAGCACTCCTGTACATCATTGGCTCATTTATCTGTCTGCTGCACAGTATTCTTAAGATGTTCAGAATACCCTGGAAACGCAAAGTCAGCTGAAACCGGTTTAGCTCAATGGTAGAGCATTGGTCTGTGGACTAAAAGGTCCCAGGTTCGATTCCGGTCAAGGGCATGTACATTGGTTGCGGGCATATCCCCAGGAGGGGGTGTGCAAGAGGCAGCTGGTCGATGTTTCTCATCGACATTTCTAGCTCTCTCTCTCCCTTTCTCCTCTCTGTAAAATATCAATAAAATATATTAAAAAAAAAAAAAAGATAAGCAGTCAGATGAGAGGGAAGGCATGGAAATGGGTGGGATTGGGCAGAGATTGAATGCGTATGGAAATGGCATGATGAATTAGAGCAATGAAAAGTATGTATTTCTATTGGTAGAAGAAAAAGACTAAAAGGATTATCAAATGTTTAAACCTGTTTTATATGGGTTTTAGGATTATAGTTTTCCTCTTTGTGCTTTTCTGCATTTTTTCCAAATTTTTTACACAGAACACATTACTTTTTTACTCAGAAAAAGTATTTTTTTTTTTTAATTACCTAATTGTCAATATGCTTTTTGTCCTAATCTAAACTGTTAGACAGTAACATATTAGGGGAAACACACTCAATTCAAGTCAGGAAACTTCCAATTCTTATCAATCAAGAGGTTGATATTAAGTTACACAACATAAAATCCATGTCATCTTTTTCATAGGGTTGTCTTTAAGGTCAGTTGGGAGTATAGTTAAATGTCTTGTGATGTATAAAGTACAAAGTTATTATGAAAAGCAGATAAGATAAATAAGTTAATAATTCATAGTGCAGCTTTCCTGGTTGGGAAAGAGTAAAATTGTAAAATTTTAAATTGCTAACAAAATAAAAATTGCTGTCAAATACTAAGGTATTTTATTTTAATGAAGGTGTCTATGTGGTTCAGTAGATTTTCTTATATATATAGTTAATGAGTTTATTTTAGTGTTTCATCTTTTTTATGCATTTTTTTTTCCTTAGGTAGTCAAGCCACATACTCCATTAATAAGATTCCCTAACAGAAGAGATAATCCTAAACCAAATGGTAAGTTGTACTTTAGATTTTTAAATGTTTCATTTATTGACTTTAAAAGGAAGGAGAGGGAGGGGCAGAAAAGAGGAGAAAAACAAAACAAAACACATTGATTCTGTTGTTCCACTTATTTATGTATTTACTAGAGGCCTGGTGCATGAAATTCATGCACGAATGTAGGAGGAGGAGGTGGGGTCCCTCAGCCTGGACTGCACCCTCTCCAATCTGGGACCCCTCAAGGGATGTCCTGTGGGATCGGCCCTAAACCAGCAGTTGGACATCCCTCCCCAATCCGGGACCACTGGCTCCTAACTGCTCGCCTGCCTGGCTGCCTAATCACCCCTAACTACCTCTGCCTGCCAGCGTAATACCCCTAACTGCTCCCCTGCTGGCCTGATCACCCCTAACTGCTCCACTGCCAGCCTGATTGCCTCTGACTGCCTCGGCCTCAGCCTCTGCCACCATGGCTTTGTTCAAAAGGATGTCCGGAAGGTCATTTGGTCTAATTAGCATATTATACTTTTATTAGTATAGATTGGTTGATTCTCTTATGTGCCCTGACTGGGATCAAACTAGCACTCTAACCAACTGAGCTACCTGACCAACACATATTTTTCCCCCAAATATACACACACACACACACACACACACACACACACACACACACACATGAATATCCTATTTTCATTTTAAAATCAGGTAGATTCGGTAGCTTAGATGAAAATAGTACATACCACCCTACCTGGTTTTGCTCAGTGGATGGAGCATCAACCTGCAGACTGAAGGGTCCCGGGTTTGATTCTGTTCAAGGCTACATGCCCAGGTTGCAGGCTTCCCGGTAGGGGCATGCAGGAGACAGCTAATCAGTGATTCTCTCTCATCATTGATATTACTCCTCTCTCTCTCTCTCTCTCTCCCTCTCCCTCTCCCTCTCCCTTCCTCTCCCTTCCTTTCTGAAATAAAAATATATTTTTTTAAAAAGAAAGAAAATGGAAAATACCTTAGGTTCCGTGCAAGTAGAAATTAATTTATTACTTCCATTTAAAAAGGTAATGACTCAATAGAAGTCTCTGAATTTTTAATAATATTGAGTTTATACAGGGGAATTTTTGTTCTACCTTTCTTTCCTTCTATCCTTTAGAATAATCTCCCACACATTTGCAGATATTGTGAAGAATAATAACCTTTTCCATATTTCTCTCCCAGCTAACCTTTTCTTTCTTTGACTCATTTATCCATTCAGTCAGTAAATGTTTCTTTGATTGCTATAAACCTCAGTAATCATAAAGTAACTAAAGATTCTGAACAACTCCTTTTTTTTCCTGACCTCACTTTTTTACCAAATCCTCTGTCTCTGTCTTTATTATAAGCTATTCTATCCTTAATTCAGGGAGAATTTTATTTAACTAATTTTATACAGATGTTTTTTAACTTATTGTAATTCTTGAATTAAGATACAGGTGTTGAAAAAGTACTGAGAAAACTAATCTCATCTATTGTTACCAAAATTCTTATTCCCCATTGTAAGATATTACCTGTAAATTCCACCATATGATAAAACTTAAGTAATATAGGTTATCTATATGGGTTGAATTCCACTATCTAGAAATTTCATTATTTTATAAATTTGTTCAATTTAGTAACTTATTTAACATTACCTCTTTTTTTTAAGAACTTGATGAAATTAGCTGAAACTGGTTTGGCTCAGTGGATAGAGCGGTGGCCTGCGGACTGAAAGGTCCCAGGTTCAGTTCCGGTCAAGGGCATGTACCTTGGTTGCAGGCACATCCCCAGTAGGGGGTGTGCAAGAGGCAGCTGATCAATGATTCTCTCTCATTGATGTTTCTAACTCTCTATCCCTCTCTCTTCCTCTCTGTAAAAAAATCAATAAAATATATTTAAAAAAAAAAAAAAACTTGATGAAATTATATATAGCTACCCAACTAAGTTACTCTCTAATACTTCTCAGAATTATAATAATACTTAATTTCAAGAATGACTAGGTTTTTCAATAATAGAGAACACAAAATAGTATTTTAAGACACCTGAACAATTTCTCTAATTACATTTTTTTAAATTTCAGTATTAGAAGCTGTGAAAGCAACAGGAGTACCTTCTCACTCTTCTTCAATTTCACAGCATTCTAAGGGAAGTAAATCGTCAGATTGGCTGATGCATCAGGGTCCACCAGACACTGCAGAAATAATAAAAACATTACCTCAGAAATACAGAAGAAAACTTGTCTCTCAAGAAGAAATCGAATATATCCAAGTATGTTGTTGGTCTTTATCACAATATTATGCAAAACGTCTTAATGTATTTGGCTTTTGGAATTTCATATGCTAATTTACATGCCTTCCCCATTGCCTTGTCATGGTGTGTCCATAACTAAGATATGGATGGTCTGATAGGCCATGACTATGAGAAATAAACCATGTCCAATCCCTCAGTTACATGCATATATATATATATATATATGATGTGTAGAAGCAATCAACATAAGTGCATAAAAGAAGCTCAATTAAGGTTCTCAATTTTTCATTTCAGAGTGTAAAGAGTTTCTGAGACCACAAAATTTGAGGACCATTGATCTGGTTTAACCTGAATTCCTTCCAGAACTGAAATTATTTATAGCATTTCTATGAGTGCCATAAAACATGAGAAAACCTGAAATTGTTTTAAAAAAAAACCTAAAGATCATTTACTTAAAATAGTATAAATTTGTATAATGGCCGTGAAAACATTTTTTTTGTAAATTTAACACCTAATCTTGTTTTTATTTTTTATTTTTCAGCGTGGAGGTCCTGAATAATCACGACACTGGCTGCTGTTTGTTATCAAACAAAGAATAGACTTTACAATAAAGGACTTCCAAAATGACTAATGAGAAATTATACATTAACAACTTTAATATTCTTAAAAAAAGAAAAAGAAAAAAGAAATATAGAAAACTTAGATAGTACTTGTATTTCTTAATTTATGTATCTTGGCAGCTTTTCCACAAGCTTACCTAATTGTTTATATACTTTATACTTATTAAAGTACACATTTAAAAATGTTAGTCTATTAATTTACTCTTGGTTATCAAGTATTACCAGTGTTGAACTATTAAAAGCGCACAATGTCTAATAAACCATCATAGATTTCCCATTATTTCGCTTTTCTTTCAGTTTGTTTAAACATTAATTATCAGGCAGAATTGCTTTTTGGAAGTGATTTTCCTGAAATAGGATGAGGATAGGTGAAATAGTGACTCTTATTTGTTCTTAATTCTTTTACCATTTTTATTTTCATCACAAAGTTACTGGAGTATAACTGGCTTAGTAAGCACATCCTACTCTAAACAATAATAATAGAGCCAAGGCATATCCAGTGACTTTGGGGTATTAAGAGTTAACATAAAGGATTATTAGTAATCTATTTTCAGAGGGGAAAAATAAGCCAGTATAAAATCAGACAAAATTAATATAGCAGAAGTATTATGTTTGAATAGAAATTGCTATTATGTTTCTAGGGGTGTTAAGAAAATCTTGTTCTTTGGTTTACTTTACTGTTTTGATTGTATAATGTGTGCAAATTGTGCAAATCATTAACTTTCTCAAACTTAATGTCTGAAAGCTTCATAAAATCAACATAAATATTTACTTCGTTAAAGCAATATATGAAACTTTAAAGGGTTTTCCTGTGCCAAGTGTATATTATTGTGAAAGTAAAGCCGCACAAAGCTAAATAAATTCTCTTTCATACCTTTAAAGATTTATAGAATATACTTTAAAGAAGTCATCTCTAATAGTAAAGGTAGCTTGTAAGCAATAATGAGTAGAATTGAGAGTATTGCCCAGTTGCCTGTGGGTTAATCTTTGCTCCCCCCCCCCCCCCTAATTCTAGAGTTGATCTGTTCCTCACAAATTCTGTGTTGTATTGTAATAAAAATGTTGCCTAACTCAAATTTGAGGTAGGGGTTTGGGGCTAACAGTACACTGCTTTAGTGACAAAAAATACAAAATTCGTGGGTTTTTTATGTTATTTACATTTATTTGGAAATTTTTCTTTAAAACTACCAGTTTTCCCCACCTCCTTAACTTCTGTGTTTCAGTAAAAGGAAGTCCAGGGCAAATTTTTTTACTTTCAGAAACAGTAAGTTCAGTTAATAAAGTGTGGCTTGAGTAATGCTGGATCTCTCTGAGGGCCACCTTTAGGTTTTCCTTTCCAGTACTATCTACTACTTTGTAACAAGTCACCTCAAAACTTAGTGTCTAAAAGCAACAATAATCAATAACTTATGTTTTCTCTGGGTCAGGAATTCCTGAGCAGGTTAGCTGGGCAGTTATGCTCAGTCAGTGTCTCTCATGAGGTTGTAATCAGGTGCTACCTGGGGCTGCACTTATCTGAAGGCTTGACTGGGGCTGGACGATCTGTTTCCAAAGTGGCTTACTAGCATGGCTGGCAAGCTGAATGAAGCTGCTGACAGGAGGACTCAGTTCCTCTCCACAAGGCTGCCTAGGCAAATTCGTGACATGTTGGCTGACTTTCCCTCACAGTAAATCATCCAAGCATCCAAAGACCAAAGCATTAATGCTTTTTATGACCTAAATTCAGAAGTTACATTTTCTGCCATATTCTACTGGTCAGACATAACAGCCTGTTTCATTATTGGAGAAATCTACTCAGTTCATTAACACTGGAAGGCAAGAATCATTGGGGCCATTTTAGAAGATGGCTGCCACCAATGTGTAAAAGTGCTTTTATGCCATAGCACAGACAAGCCTCATAGGTGTACCATCAAATTTGGCTCACTACTTAGCTTATTTTTACTAAAAGTGAGGTTAGCTGTTACGGTAATGTCTTTCAAAAGGAACTTTGGCCTAAGTCATGTAACACCATGGATCATCAGGCATGACTTCCCACAAGTAAAAAAAATTAGGAATTAAGTGATAGCCAAAACCGGTTTGGCTCAATGGATAGAGCATCGGCCTGCGGACTGAAAGGTCCCAGGTTCGATTCTGGTATGTACTACCTTGGTTGCTGCACATCCCCAGTAGGGGGTGTGCAGGAGGCAGCTGGTCAATGTTTCTCATCGATGTTTCTAGCTCTCTATCCCTCTCTCTTCCTTTCTGTAAGAAATTATATATATATATATATATATATATATATATATATATATATATTTTTTTTTTTAAGAATTAAGTGATAAAGATGGTGTGTTTTCTGCAATGTATGAGAAGTTTGCCCATGAACATAGCAGAGCTCAATGAAGACTCAAGTAGTGACAAGAGCTGGGGGGTGACCAACAATAGTTATGAAATGGTTAACATAATTTGAGTTCTATAACATAAATTGAGCACTGTCAGACATTTTTCTAAGGGTTTTTGGAGAGTGAAATTATTTAAGCCTTGCAGCAACCCAATGATTAGCTCCTATTATGGAGGAGAAAACTAGGGACAGAAAGATTAAATAATTTGCCCAAGTTATATATCAATTGAATACTTAGCCCAGGAGTCAATGTGGACAATCTATACCCACAGCAAGGGTCAATCCTTACATCGTACTATCTTTACTAAATTATGAGCCTTGGTATTCTGCTGCCTTTGGCAACATAACTCTGAAAATCAGGATTCTCAACTTTATCAAATGCCCCGATTCAAAACCTTAGAATTATGCTTTCCTTACTCCCTCACCCAAAACAATGAATTTGTCAGCAAATCCTTCTGGCTACAAGTCATCTGGTACTATCTAATACAGGCATCTGGATTACCACAAGAATTCCTTACCTGGCCTTCTTGCTTTTCCTTGCCACCTCCCTGACCCCAAGTTTGGTCTCTCACAACAGCCAGAGTGGACCTTTAGAAAAATGGATATCATTTGTCTGCTCAAAACTGATGTTTGTCTTGTCCCACCCTATTTAAAACTGAAAACCCTAGTCTCTTTTTCCATGCTTTATAATTTCCATAGTTATGTGTTATTTCTATAGCACTTATAACTACGTATCATAGCATTATTAACCAAGTTGTTAATCATATTTTACTTGGTTGTTAACTACTCCCATTTGAAGGCAAGCATCTTTGTCTTTTTTTTTCAGGCTCATTTCCTGGTCTACAATAGAGCCTGGCATATTCAATAAATATTCACTGCATAAATGAATGGATATGTATAATTCCTCAAGCTCACCTCACCCAACCATTGTTGAGGGGCGGGACCCACTTCCAACGTCAACCAATTGGATTCAAGGGTGGGGCCCACTTCCACCCTCACCCAATGGTTGTTGAGAGGCGGGACCCACACCCAACCACAACCAATGGTTGTTGAGGGGCAAAACCAACTTCCAACCTCACCCAATGGTTGTGGAGAGATGTGACCCATTTTGAACCTAACCCAATGGTTGTTGAGGGGCCAGTTCCACTCCTAACCTCACCCAATGGGAGGTGATGGGCGGGTCCAACTCCCAAACTCACCCAATGATTGTTGAGGGGTGGGACCCAAACACCAGTCCTTGGGCTGATGCTCTTACCACTGAACATAAGTGGCCAGAGCTGTTACTTTTAAAAAAAAAAAAAGAAAGAAAATGTTTTTTTAATTTTTATTTTGGAATAATTCTAGATTTACCCCACACTTGCATAGTGAGTACAGGGTTCCTGCGAACAGGTCTGCATAGGTAGTCTCTCCTGTTGTTCACAGCTTCCGCAAACCTGGCCCCGACACAGCTAACTGCTGAAGGCTGCTGCCCTGCTTGTACTGGACTATAGACTTGTGTCTCCCTAGTCTTTTACTAATAGCCTTTTTCTGTTGGAGGATCTACCCAGAACCTCGCACTGCTTTCAGCCCCCTCTGTGCATTGTCTCACAGCCGTCTTTGTTTTGAATGACCTTGCCGAGCTTTGGGGGTGCTGGGTGGAGAGGGGCTACAGCATGTGGGCAGGTTCCAAACTGGGACTCATGAGAGGACCAGTCCTCTCTTGGCCATGTGCATGTCCCAGCTAGGAAGGCAGAGCCTCCCAGCACAATTCTATCCAACCGCTGCACTTGTAAGCTTGAACCTATGGTCTGAACACATGGCCCCAAATGCCTGCGTGATAATAAATAGGCTGCAGGTGAACCAAGTTTGATCAGGTGCATGTACTGGAGAGGATGGAAACCCTGGAGAATCCTGTAAACATCTTGACCAAGCCCTTCCTTTGCCTCCTGGCTTCTGCTACAAAATAAAGACTCGGCTTGTGGGCTTGGGTGCTGTCTCTCAGCAAGCAGCATCCCACCGAGACCCAGGTTTCCTTCTCTTCTCTGCCTTTTCCAAGCTTTTCAGCCTCCCCCTCTCTGGGCCACCCTGGGCCCAGTCTGGTTGCACAATGCTGGTCCCCCGTTTTGAAGGATGTCTTTTGGATTCTCTGATGTTTTCCTCATAATAGACTGGGGTTTAGGGGAGAGTGTCACTGGTGTGGAGCGTGGTCATCGGGCACTGCTCACAGCTGAAGCTTAATTGAGCGTTTACTATGACTAACTTTTCTGCCTGTCACATTTAATCCTCACAACCACCTGTGATGTAGTCTATTCTTTCCACTTCACAGAGTAGAAAACGGATGACCGTAAGTCTGTCCCACAGCACAAAATTCTTCCGTTGGCTGGTATTTTGTTACCCTGGCTGCGCCTCTTCATAGAAAGCGCTGGACTAATAAGAATGCCTCTTGACCAGCCAGCCCTTAAGAAGTGGGCAGGCGTCCTAACCGGTTTGGCTCAGTGGATAGAGCGTCGGCCTGTGGACTCAGAGGTTCCAGGTTTGATTCCGGTCAAGGGCATGTACCTTGGTTGCAGGGCACTTCCCCAGTAAGGGGTGTGCACGAGGCAGCTGATTGTTATTTCTCTCTCATGGATATTTCTATCCCCTCCCTTCCTCTCTGTAAAAAAATCAATAAAATATTAAAAGAAGAAGAAGAAGGAGAAGGAGGAGGAGGAGGAGGAGGAGGAGGAGGAGGGGAAGTAGTAGTAGTAGCAGTGGGCAGGCGTCTTAAGTAGTAACCTGGGACCGCGGGGCCAGGCGTCCATAGTAACCGCAGGGACAGAACAGCCAGACCTAGAACCAGAAAGGGAGACGGGGAGAAGGCCGAGCCTGCCGCCCGCATACACACCTGTGACATTCCGAACTCGGAACCGCAGCAGAACGCTGACCCTTCGCGGCAGTTAAGACCGTAATCTAAGTTAAAACCAAAACCAGGTGACCCACGTGGGCACCACCACCCTACACCACCCGGCTTCCGGCGGCACCCACGGGCCCTGCTGTGCGCAGCTTCCTCGGGGCTCGGCACTGACTCGGCAGGGCCACGCCCATCCCGGAAGTGGGGCGGAGCTAAGAAAGCGTCGGAGCCTGGCGAGCGGAAGTGGCTGTTGGAGGCTTTAAAGTCGCTTTAAATTCCCTCTGCCCTGGGAGCTCGCTCTTTGCGGCTGTACTCGGGCTTCGCGTGACGGATGGCTGTGGACGTGAAGTCGCGAGCGAAGCGCTATGAGAAGCTGGACTTCCTCGGGGAGGGGCAGGTGCGGCTCCCGGGGCTCGGGGCGTCCCGCGGGCAGGGCGCCGAGTCGCCTCTGCTCTCCCCCGGTTTCCTCGCGCCCTCCGGGGCTGGCGGGGCTGCTGGCCCAGGCTTCCCGGACGCCGCTGCCCCGCTGTCCCCCACGCCGAGGGCCCTCTCCTTTCCGGGCACATAGCGTTTTTATTTATTTTTTAAAATTTCTTTATTGATTAAGGTATCACATATTTGTCCTCAACCCCCCATCCCAACCCCCACCCCTCCCTCACACAGCATTTTAAAAATGTTTTACTTGGTTGTTCACTACTCCCAGGCAGGACCACGCTTCCAGCCGCCGGGAGTCCCCCTCCTAGAACCCTTGATTCTTGGCTTCCCAAAATCTAAAGTCAAAAGGCAAACACAATCAAACAGCCTTCCCGCAAAGCTTAGGTTGTCTTTGTTTCTCTCTCTAGTTTGCCACGGTTTACAAGGCCAGAGACAAGAACACCAACCAAATTGTCGCCATTAAAAAGGTGAGTTGCACTTTGTTGTCTTGGAGTCCCTTGGACGATGCAGGGATGTGTGAGTTGGTGGCCGGCCCATTTCGCCAGTCCAGGCCTTGCTCTGCTATTGAGAAGTGCCTTAGGTTATTTTCAAAGGAAGCAGAATTTGTTAGTGTCTTGTGTTCCGAGATATAGAACTCGGGTGGAACTGTTTTTATTGATTTTTAGAAAGAAGAAGGGAGAGGGGAGAAACTTGGATGGGCTGCCTCCTGCAGGCCCCCTCCTGGGGATGGAGCCCATAACCGGTCCTGTCCCCTGACCAGGGATCCCAGTGGTGACCTTGCCCTGCACCAGAGGAAGCCCAATCAACAGATTGAGCTGAACTAGATTTTTGTGCCATTACTGACATTGAAATGAAAAGGGAGCCATATGCCGGCTTTATAAATAAACTCAGAAGTTAGCAAAGGGGGTAATAACTGCCAGTCTGTTAGGTCCTCAAAACAAACCATTTCATGTCATTAATTTCATGGATCACTATTTCTGCCTTACCTGCATCCACTCTATGCATCATATCTATTTTCTGTGGACAGATTTACCATAAAAGGCTTTCACCTACATCAACAACATTGATGTGTGTGTGTTTTTAAAACAGATTTCAGTATCTTTTTATTTGCAATCACTCAAGAAATTTAGGTTACATTTAGCTAACTTTCTATATGCCAGGCACTTTCACCAACATTTTTCATTTAACCCTCAAAATAGTCTTGTAAAATACTTAAATTAAGTGCCTTTATTTTACACTTGAGGTTCTTGAAGCTGAGAGAGATTAGCTGGCTTGTCAAGATGATGTGGGTAGTAATGGCTAAAGCTAGGCTTCAAGTCCAGGTGTCCTGCTGCCAGGTTGATTGCTCTTTCCTATGCTACTGAAATCAGTAACCCTCTCACCGAGAGGCTGTTTTTCTCACTGCCCAAGACCTGCTCATGTGGCAAGTGACCTCCGCCTTACCTTTTCTGACTTCTCTCATCTTGTTTTCCAGCTTTTGTTCTACAATCTAGCACCAGCTGCTCCTTTGTAAAACCCTTTAACTCTCCCGACCCTTCCTAAAGTTATCTTTTCAATTCTGTTTTTCGATACTCTAGCCACATTGACTTTCTATTCCTTGAACACATGAAATTCATTCCAGCCCCAGGATTGTTGCATTTGCTCTGCCTTCTGGCTAATACATTTTTCTTCTAAAACGTGCCCTGGCGGATTCCTTATCCTTTAGATCACACTCAAATGCCTCTTCACCCAGAGACCTTTGCTGGACACTGTAGCTAAAACAGGCATGCCTCCCTCCTCCCTGGAGTTCTTTACCATATTTCTCTGATATCTTCATAGCATTTGTCAAAACCTGAAATGCTTTTATCTATGAGTTTATTGTCTGTTTACTTCCACTCAAATCACACTTAGACAGTATGGCTAGTACATTTGTAAACACTCATTAAAAATGTATTCACTTAACTGACTGATACAATCTCTTCAAACTATTGGCATATTGAGTTCTATCGTTGTCTGAAAGTCCAAGTGGGGTTTTTTGTTTGCTTACTGTTAACATAAATTAGGGTAAAATCCATCCTATTTCTCTGTGATAGACTTTTACCCCTTCAGGGTGACTCAGTGAAACCAAGGGTCCTAATATGTGGTGCCAGCATTCTACTCAGTTTCTTTATAGAGTGCCCTATAAGCTTAGCCCTTTCCTTAATAGTCATTAACCCTCTGAAGCAGCCAGAAACAATGGTCATACCTTGATGAAGGGTTACAAGGTATGTGTTTCTGTTACCGTAAGCTGAAGATAGTATCTTGACCTAAATAGTTTCAGCTGAGGCCTAAGGTGGAACAACCCCCTGGCTACCTTTCCATGAAACTAGAGGAATGCCAGAGCAGACCTCAGAGCTCTCCTCAAGACCTGAAGAAATTATTCATTAACCCTTGCCTCCCCTCCGACCAATCAGCTCCCAACACCACCCTTAACTCCTAACCCACGGGGTCTTAGCATTTTGCCCTATATAGTCTGTGACCTACATGCCATCATGGAGCTTTTGAGTATTAGCTACCCTCGCTCTTGGGTGGTGCCATTCATAATAAAATAGTCTTTCTTCACTGCAGTTCTTTTTTTTAAAAAGAAAGAAAGAGAAAGAAAGAAAGAGTTTTTATTGATTTGAGAGAGAGGGAGAAATATCAATGTGAGAGAGAAGCTTCAATTGGCTGCCTCCCAGGCATGTGCCCTGACTGCAAATTGAACCAATGATCTTTCAGTGCATAAGACAAAGCTTCAACCAACTTAGCCACTCCAGCCAGGGCTTGAGTGACTTTGAATATGTACTTCAAAAACTTAAAGGGCAAGGAATAGTAGGTACTTGATTCTTTCTTATTGTATTATTTTTGCCTTTCTGATTAATGATTACCCACTTCCTTCTTGCTTTTTAATACTAAATACATATGAGTTGTTAATTGTGCCTTAGATCATTTTGCTATAGTTAGGTTTTTTGTTGTTGTTGTTGTTTTAATATATTAAGTATGCATGTGTGTGTATTACCTACACAAACATTCATTAAGTCTAACTTAACATATTATTAATGTTTTCTTTTTCCCCTCTACCAGATCAAACTTGGACATAGATCAGAAGCTAAAGATGGTAAGTTATTTCATTTAATTTGACAGAACAGGAAAGATTTTTATTCCTACTGAGGAATGAGCAAAGTATTCATTAGAGTTAACAATGGTCTGGGTAGAGTCATTGCAGGGTCCCAAGAGAATAAAGGTACACTCAGGATAGAGGCAGGAAATTTGTGACTTCTACCATTTGGGTGTAGAGAAGCACATTTAAGTCACTTCAGAAAATGGAAGGCAGCAAAGTTATTAGTGGCTTATCTATCAATAGTTGTCTTCATTACTGTTTTAGGTGTTGTTACAAGCCATTGTTTCTTCATTTTTCTGAGCTTCTAATTACTTTGAAAATTCAGACTATACCTTCATGGAAGTACACAAAGCTCACTATGGAACTCTTCACCTCCTTACAAAGCCTTGTTTTCTAGAATGCTAATTTGAGTTCTAGCCTTTGCATTGGGAAAAATACTGTCTTATCACTAGTTTGCTATTAGCATAAAGAATCTGCTGCTAATATTTATAGGGCAAGAGAAACGAAGCTATAACTTAGCGTCTCTATGCTTCACACTTACGTGTATTGATATTCCAGCACTGATATGCCACAGATAAAATTAGTATTTTTTTCACCATTTATCATGGTCTATGTACCGTAAGCTATTTTATTACTTTTAAATATTTTTTAATTGATTTTTTACAGAGAGGAAGGGAGAGAGATAGAGAGTTAGAAACATCAATCAGCTACCTCCTGCACACCCCCTCCTGAGGTTGTTCCCGCAACCAAGGTACATGCCCTTGACTGGAATCAAACCTGGGACCTTTCAGTCTGTAGGCTGACACTAATCACTGAGCCAAACCGGTTTTGGCATATGTAAGCTATTTTAAAAATAAAGTAATATAGCCCAGTTTGTATTGCTCAGTGGATTGAGCAAGAGGTCCCAAGTTCGATTACTAGTCAGGGCGCATACCTGAATTTCTGGCTCGATCCCCAATAGGGGCTGTGCAGCATGCAGCCATTCAATGTGTCTATATCATCGATGTTTCTATTTCTCCCCCTTCCTCTCTATCTAAACATCAATAAAAACACATATTTAAAAATAAATAAAGCAATATAAGCCCCAGCCAGTGTAGCTCAGTTGGTTGAGCATCATCCTGTGCATCCTGTTGCTGATTTGATTCTTGGTCAGGGCACACGCCCAGGTTACAGGCTTGATCCCTGGTAGGGGGCATGTAAGAGGCAGCCAGTCAGTGTTCTGCTCTCACATTGATGTGTCTCTTTTCTCTCCCTTCCCCTCTCTAAAAGTCATTTAAAATTTAAAAAAAAAAAAAGCTATATAAAGATTTGAGAATTATTTTTCACTTTTTGTTTTGTGCTTTTATGTAGGTATAAATAGAACAGCCTTAAGAGAAATAAAATTATTACAGGAGCTAAGTCATCCAAATATAATTGGTGTAAGTATGATCTAAGTTGTTTCTGGTATGTTGACTGAAAGCCCAGCAAAATGAATTGTGATAAGCAAGCCTTGCAGAAAAGCTTAATAGTTTATCAGGCTAGTATTTCCTATCCTAATTGTTCCTGTAGGCCCTATCTTTTAAAACGATGCAACGGATGAAGTAAATTAAATATTGGCATACAGGCTAATTTTGTCAGAAATCATTTTGAAGCCTAGAGAGCTCTAGTATGTGTAAGACCCTAGCACAACCTTAGAGGGTTGTGGTGATCAGCTACTTAAATACATGTAAAGTACCTGGAATAGTGCCTGGCATGTGCTCATTCAGTAAATGATGGATGCTACTGTGGTTTATAGAATTTTTTTAGGTAGGAATTTTTCTGAAATAGAGACTGAGGTGAGGTTTTCATCAATTCGTTTATTATAACTTCCAAAATTTTGGGGGAGAGGTTAAGTATTTAGTGACTTTTTAAAAAATAATAAATATTTTTGTGCCTCAAAGTACAAATTCCTAGCAAACAAAAACAAAATAAATGTCAAATTTATTAAAATTACTTAAACTTTACAGGGAATTATTGACTGTCCAAATGCTTCTTTAAATTTTTAAAAAATTACTTAGTTGGTGTAATACTGTCAAGTATTTCATAGAGAATCACATTTTTATTTTTTTGAAATTTTGCTTTGCAGCTCCTTGATGCTTTTGGACATAAATCTAATATTAGCCTTGTCTTTGATTTTATGGAAACTGATCTAGAGGTAAGGTTAAGATTCCTAAAGAAATTTCTTTTCTTTGTTTATCAAAAGAGAACCTAAATGTTTATTCCACTTATGAAGTTACTGGTAATCAAAAGAATGCTTAACTTTGAAATCTGGATTTACTCTCAAATCTTGGATCTTCTGATCCATTTAGCCATATTCCCAGTATTAAATACAGAGATTGGATTTCTTTAGCATTGGCCTACCAATTTACCCTATCCTTATTGACATTATTTTTATTTTTTTTAATTTTTCAAAATATATTTTATTGATTTCATACAGAGAGGAAGGGAGAGGATAGAGAGCTAGAAACATCGATGAGAGAGAAACCTCGATCAGCTGCCTCCTGCACACCCCCTACTGAGGATGTGCCCGTAACCAAGGTACATGCCCTTGACCGGAATCGAACCTGGGACCTTCAGTCCACAGGCTGATGCTCTATCCACTGAGCCAAACCAGTTTCTGCTTGACATTATTTTTAGAGAAATTAATGCTAGGCCTTTGAAAATTCAGAGCTTTTTTTTCATATTATTGTAAAATATCAATCAAGTTTCTTTTTGAGAAAAATAAAGTTGTATGCTTTTCATTATTATTAATTCAATCTCAAAAACTGACAATCCAAGGGTATGGAGCAATTGGAATTCTCGTGCTGGTGAGAATGCAAAATGGTGTAGCTACTTTGAAAAATAGTTTTTCATTTTCTTATACAAAAAAACAATACATTTAAGCAGTACTGCTGCTAGGTATTTACCCAAGAGAAACAAAGAAGCCAACTGGTACACAGATGTTTAGCTTTTCGTAATTGCCCAAAGTGGAAACAACCCAAATATCTTTCCTTCAGTGAATATATAAACTTTGGTACAGCCATACAATGGAATACTATTTGGGAATAAAAGGAAATGCTAATATATACACCAGTTTAGACAGATCTCAAATACTTTATACTAAACTAGAGGCCCGATGCATAAGCCTGATGCACAAAGATTCTTGCAGGAATGGGCCTTCCTCCCCCAGGCTGCCGGCACCACCTTCGCTCTGGCCTGAGCCACTTTCCCATGCTGACCCAGAGTGGCTGGGGCGCACCGCCCCCGGTTGTTCAGCACCTGTGTATGCAGATTAACCCTCCATCTTTGTTGGGTTAATTTGCATAGTCACTCCTGATTGGCTGATGGGCCCCATGAAGGTACAGTCAATTTGCATCTTACTTTTTAATTAGTGTAGATGAAAGAGGCCAGATTCAAAAGGCTAGCCAAAACCGGTTTGGCTCAGTGGGTAGAGCATCAGCCTGCAGACTGAAGGGTCCCAGGTTCGATTCCCGTCAAGGGCATGTACCTTGGTTGCAGGCACATCCCCAGTAAGAGGCATGCAAGAGGCAGCTGATGACTCTCTCTCATCAATGTTTCTATCTCTTATCTCTCTCCCTTCCTTTCTGAAAAAAAAATCAATAAAATATATATATTTTTTAAAATGGCTATCTATATATATAAAAGGCTAATATGTAAATTGTCCTCATGGGAGTTCGACTGGGAAACTGGAAGTTCGATTGCTCACTATGACATGCACTGACCTCCAGGGGGCAGTGTAGAACAAAGGAAGGCCTCAGCCAGCAGCCAGAAGTCCCTTATTGGCCCTGATCACTGGCCAGGCCTAGGGACCCTACCCATGCACAGATTTTGTGCACTGGGCCTCTAGTATGTTATATATTTATCTTGATATTTTGAGAAAAGCAAAACTAAAGAAACGGAAATCAGATCAGCGGTTGCTGGGGTTGGAAGTACAATGAGGGATTGAGTACAGAGGGGCCTGAGGGACTTTTGGGGGATTATAGAACTGTAATCTTGATTGTGCTGGTGGTTATACAACTGGGTGTGTTCATTAAAACTCATAGAACTGTGCTCTAGAAAGGGTACATTTTACCTAAATTTGATTTTTTTTGTTTAAGAAAATGGGCATATTTAGTTTATGTAACTGATAAGTCTAGGAATAAACTGGTTTTGGGCACAGTTATTATCAGAAGTCAGTCTTGTACTTTAACTCACTCTTTTCTTCTCTGTTGTCTTCATACATGGGCATAATTTCTCAATATAGTGGCTCAGATACTTCCAGGCTCATCTTTATTATTGGAAGTATTAACAGATGTCCTCTTCGATTATTGTTCCCCCCATTGACCCCCTCCACCCTGTACCCACCTCTCCCAGTTCTTCACACTATGATCTGTATCTATGGGCTATGTATATAAATTCCCGGTTTATCTCTCCCCCGCACCCTCCCATTCCCTCTTTGTTGTTTTTAATTCTAGCACAAGTACTTGGTCTGGTTGATTGGCCTAACTTGAACCATATGTTTATCCCTGTACAGTCTCCTGGACAACAGTGGTAATTAACTATGCTTTGGTCATGAGCCTACTTCTAGAAGCCACAGATGGCGGTCAGTCCATTTTTAACCTTGTAGATTGAGGTGGGAACAGGTAGCTTCCCAAAAGAATTCTAAATGCTATGACCAGATTAACAAAGTTTATTGTTACATATAAACTTTGAATCCTGGGGCAAGTGAAAAAACAAGCAATAGGAGACAAACCACTGCTTTCTTTCCAAAGCAAAGATACTTCCCCTAACTCATATGACTGAACATTCTGACCATCCTTCCTAAGGAGAGTTTTGCAGCCTTTCTTGAGATTCTCCTTTTATGTCTGTAAATGATTTTATATGATGGCATTTATTTGTGAAAATAAAGTTACCTATATCTTTTTTACCTGTTTTACAGGTTATAATAAAAGATAGTAGTCTTGTCCTAACACCATCGCACATCAAAGCCTACATGTTGATGACACTTCAAGGGTTAGAATATTTACATCAACATTGGATTCTACATAGGGTAAGGTTTTTAACCAAGTGTGATAACTTCTTTATGTTGTTAAGTTTTATTTAACTAGTTTATTACATAAATGATCTAAACATGTAGATTGTTGCCGAAACCGGTTTGGCTCAGTGGTAGAGCATCAGTCTACGGGCTGAAAGATCCCAGGTTCCATTCCAGTCAAGGGCATGTACGTTGGTTGCGGGCACATCCCTGGTGGGGGGTGTGCAGGAGGCGGCTGGTTGATGTTTCTCTCTCATCTATGTTTCTGGCTCTCTATCTCTCTCCCTTCCTCTCTGTAAAAAAAAAAATCAATAAAATATATATAAAAAATAAATAAATATATAAATAAATAAATTGTTATAAAAAAATAAACATGTAGATTGTTAAAGATGTAGCTGGACTATTTTATCCTTCTTTCTTAGTGTGTTCCCTCCATTGTTCCACCAGGTGGTGCTGTGAGGATTGTAAGTTACTATGTGAAATTTAGAAATGGAAGAATCCTTAATACTTTTTCAAAAATTAAGAATTAAAAAAAATTAAAACCCTGAGTTACCTGACCATGGTTATATTATTTTTTTTCAAGGTCAGTAGCTGATAACTGACAGTATTAGAACCTAGATTTTTTGGCCTTTAGTCCAGTGTTCTTTGTGCTATACCATTGTTAGTGAGAGTATGTGTCAGGGGACAGGGAGGAAATACAGTGAGAATCTGGATTAATTATACAATGCTACAATACCTTTAGGAAGATAATTCTAGTACTGTAAAGTTCTATGAAGTAATAAAATAAAATTTCTGAAATGGTCAGATCATTGTTCCAAAAGAACAAGAGTGATAATTTAGGTAGGTAAATGTTCTTAGGTACCCTATTTAGGAGAATAGTTAAGAGTATATAGTTTATAGTTGGTAACTCTCATATCTTAAATTTAGAATCCCTTTTAGTTTATTGCTAATATCTTTTTAATATAGATTTTGAGACTGTTCCTCATCCTTTCTAAATGTATAATGTTTTTATTTACTAAAATTCATATATATTACTGTTATTGAATTAATGTCAGTAGCCATTTATTGAGTGCTTACTATTAGCCTGTCATTACACTAGGCTCTTTACAGAAAATATTAAATATAATCCTCACAACCCTGTAAAGTAGGAAAACTTAAGTTCAGTGAAATTAGGTTCCTTGATCCCTGGTCAATGAAAAAATACTGATTGTTGTTTAATTCGAGTGTTACTCTGTTTTTGCTAAGTTTAAAGTTGAGCCAACTATTAAATGCCTTGTTATAGTAGTCTCCCCCATCCTGCTTACATGTTTGTTTAAAACTTCCATAACATAGGATCTGAAACCAAACAACTTGTTGCTAGATGAAAACGGAGTTCTAAAGCTGGCAGATTTTGGCCTGGCCAAATCATTTGGGAGCCCCAATAGAGCTTATACACATCAGGTTGTAACCAGGTAAGAATCCCTGAAATAACTGAAATTTATATTGTGCAGGATATTAACCACAAGTGAGCATCATTTGGTTTCTCTTGGCATCATCGTTGGTGTTTTGATGAAAATACAGCTGTTTTTATGTTATGTATATCTTACCACAGTAAAAAAAAAATACAGTCCTTCATTCAAACAAGAATTGAATTAAGTCGATCCTCAAACATTTATCTAGTAGTTTTTCAATATATATAATTGTTTTTTAACATTGATTTTTAGAAAGGTTGGGGGGAGGTAGAGAAACATTGATTTGTTATCCATTCGTTGGTTGCTTCATATATATGCCCTGACTGGAACTTGCAATCTTTGTGTATGGCAGTGGTTCTCAACCTTTCTAATGCATTTTATTGATTTTTTTACAGAGAGGAAGAGAGGAATAGAGAGTTAGAAACAACAATGAGAGAGAATCATCAATCAGCTGCCTCTTGCACAACCCCCACTGGGGATGTGCCCGCAACCCAGGTACATGCCCTTGACTGGAATCGAACCTGGGACCTTTCAGTCCGCCGACCGACGCTCTACCACTGAGCCAAACCGGTCTCAGCATAATGCCTTGACCCTTTAATACAGTTCCTCATGTTGTGACCCCAAACATAAAATTATTTTCGCGACCTACAGGTTGAGAATTGCTAGCCAGACCCCCTAGGACCATCAGAAAACACAGATATTTATATTACGATTCATTAACAGTAGCAAAATTACAATTATGAAGTAGCAACGAAAATAATTTTATGGTTGGGGGTCACCACAACATGAGGAACTATATTAAAGGGCCAAGGCATTAAAAAGATTGAGAACCACAGGTATATGAGGACAACACTCTAACCAACTGAGCTACCTGACTAGGGCTAGTAACTTTTTTGTTTTGTTTTGTTAATTCTCACAAGAGGATAATTTTTTACATTGCTTTTCAGAGAGGGAAGGAAGAGAGGAGTGGTAGAGAGAGAAACAAACATCAGAGTGAGACACACAGACTGGTTGCCTCTTGTACGCACTCCACTGGGGGTAGGGAGGTGAACAAATCCACAACCCAGGTACGGGCTCTTGACAAAATCAAACCCAATACTCTAACCACTGAGATACCTGCCAGGATGAGCTAGTAACTTTTGAAACTAATTTATACTTTTACATTTCAGTTACATAGTTTTTGAAGTTTAGTGGCTATCTTACCTAATAATAGACAAACTTGTAAATTGACCATACCTCTGCCATGCCATCAGCCAATCAGGAGTGACATGCAAATTAACCAAACAAATATGTTGGTTAATTTACATACACAGGCACTGATTGATTGGGCAGGCCAGGTGACAATGCAGATGTTATGCCCCACCCCAGTCTATCAGGGCCTCTGGATAGCTTGGGAAGGCGGGGCTGGAGCCTGAAGAGGCAGCTCTCAGAGCTGAAAGAGGTGGCTCTGGGCCTGAGCAGAAAGGGGCTGGGCTGGAGTGGAAAGGCAGTGCCAGCAGCCAGGGAAAGGAAAGCCCATGCTAGCACGAATCTTCGTGCATCGGGCTTCTAGTTTTACATCATCAGCTGATTTAGAGGGGACATATGTTTATTACTTTATTGGTTAGTCCTGATTCCATATTTTATATCATTCAGTGTGAGTGAAAATTCTCTAAACAGAACAGTGCATTGATATTTGGATTTTTCATGTTGTTATACTTGTATTTTATGTTTTTACTTTTTCTTTTTTAATAGTTTACTGATTTTTTTACAGAGAGGGAGGGAGAGGGATACAAAGCTAGAAACATCAATGAGAGAGAAAAACATTGATCAGGTGCCTCCTGCACACCTCCTACTGGGGATGTGCCCATAACCAAAGTACATGCCCTTGACCAGAATTAAACCTGGGACCCTTCAATCTGCAGGCCAACGCTCTATTCACTGAGCCAAACTGGGTAGGGCTGTTTTTACTTTTTGTAAATAATTAAAAATCACATTAAATAGATGGAGATAGTAGATTTTATAATTTTCATCAGGGTGGCATTTGTTAATTTCCAAGACTTTTTAAAAAATATATTTTTATTCATTTCAGAGAGGGAGGAGTAGTGAGAGATAGAAGCATCAATGAGAGAGAGAGAATCATTGATTGGCTGCCTCCTACATGCCCCCTTTTAGGGATCTAGCCCTATCCAGGGGATTTCCCCTAACTGGGAATCAAACCATGACCTTCTGTTTCATAGGTTGATGCTCAGCCACTGAACCACACTAGCCATACCCAAGATTTTTTATTTATACTTATATATATATATATATATATATATTTTTTTTTTAATTATTGATTTTTTACAGAGAGGAAGAGAGAGGGATAGAGAGTTAGAAACATTGATCGGCCACCTTCTGCACACCCCGCACTGGGGATTTGCCCACAACCAAGGTACATGCCCTTGACCAGAATCGAACCTGGGACCTTTCAGTCTGCAGGCCGATGCTCTATCCACTGAGCAAACCAGTCTCGGCTTTACCCAAGATTTTTTTTTAACGATCTGTGAAGATCTTCATTTTCTCTTATTTGTTCCTTTAAATTACTTTGTCACCTTCCATATCTCATTGTCAGTCACCTAAAGCCTGAGAAAGATGTAAATGGATATAAATAGTTATTAATGTAACTGCTCTAAAGATTAAGACTATCGTTCAGGAACTTGGGCAAATAGGGACCCACATAAGAGCACTGTACACAGTGTTTTTCATTTTATTTCTCATATTTTCATGCAACTCAAATGCTACTAATGGGTGAGGTAAAATGAGGACTGAGAATTGAGACAGGTTAATGATGTGGATATCATTGTTAACCTTGACAAGAGCCATCTTAGTGGAGTAATAGGATAAAAGCCTAATTGAAAAGAATTTAAGAGAGTAAGAAAAGAGGAATTGCAGACAATAAGAGCAGACAACTCTTCAGACTACCAGAGAATGAAGAAGTAGCTACTAGGGGAAATAGGATCTAAAGAAGTTTGTGTTGTTTATTTCTTTTTCTTTTTTAAAATTTTTTTTTAATTAATTTCAGAGAGAGGAAGGGAGAGAGAAAGAGAGAAGCATTAGTGATGGGAAAGAATCATTGATCGGCTGCCTCCTGCACACTCCACACTGGGAAGCAAACCAGAAACTCATGCATGTACCCTGGCCAGGAATCAAACCATGATTCACAGGTGGACATTCAACCACTGATCCACACTGGCCAGGCTATTTCTTTGGTTTTTAGTTTATCTTTTATTTTTTATTTTATTTTATTTTCAGAAGAAAATCACTTTATTGTAACCGATTTATAAACATCACTAAAGCTGGTTTAAGGAGGCCACACAAACATCTGCTCAGCCCCAAACTGAATTATTATCTTAATGAACTTCTACACTGTAAGCACACTCTCTTCTACTGCAATTCTGAAGTGAGGAAACTATTATTGATATAGGAGAGTTAACTAGTAGTTTTATATTTCACTATCAATTATATTTTTATACTAGGTTAACTTAAACATGAGAGGTGATTTCCCATTTCTTCAACTTGACCTTCTTGATTAGGCTAATCCATTTGCAAATTTGCATTGTTTCAGCACCTCGCTGAAACCCTCACAAAGCTTAAGGTCACCCTGGTTCTGCGCACACTCCAAGAACTGTTTCATCTCATAGTGGCAGGGGCCAAACTGCTGCTGCTGCTGCTGGTATGCCTGCGTTCCCTGGGGCTCCTGGTAAGTGATGTCGGGCCTTGCGGGCACCGCATTACTTCCTCCACTGAAGCCCCCGGTGATGGCATGGGGGTAGAAACATCGATGAGAGAGAAACATCGATCAGCCGCCTGTGGCCTATGGCAGAGCCCACGGCCACCCCAGCGGCGGTGGTCGCCATCTGGGCCGTCAGACCTGGCTGCTGGGGCGCAGCAGCAGGTGCGCCAACAGCAGAGGGCGCAGCTGGTGCTGGCGGGTGAGCTGCTGGTGCTGGCCTGGGGGCAGCTCTCATCGGAGGTGCCCGGCTGGCCGGAGGGGCCATGTGGGACGTGCGGCTTCGGCTTCCACGCGGCATCGCCACTGAACAAACCGGTCGGCGTCTGCAAGTGCGAAACTCCTAGAAGACCCCGGCGACTTCTGCCGAGCGCGAGAGAGCGGAAGACCTTTTAGTTTATCTTTTAAAGCCAAAGAAATAACAGTATGTTTGTATATTGATGGTAATAGTTTAGTAAAGAGCAAAAAGTTGATGTATTGTAGGAGAAAGAGAAGAGAATTACAAGAGCAATACCCTTGAAAATAGGCAAGAGGATGGTATCTAGTGCCCAGGTTGATAGATTGGCTTTGAAAACAGTCAAGGATAACCCTGGCTAGTGTGATTCTCTCTCATTCATACTTCTTTCTCCCTCTCCCCTTTCCCTTCTCCTTTCCCCTTTTCCCTTCCCCTCCACCTCAAGGATAGTTATAGATTGGACAGCAGATTGAGTAATACAAATGATTAGGTGAGTCCATGGAAAAAAGTGAATTTCATCAGTAGGATAATGTTTTGCTGAGTTTTTTCTTAAGAAATACTTTAGCTAAAACTGGTTTGGCTCGGTGGATAGAGCGTTGGCCTGCGGACTGAAAGGTCTCGGGTTCAATTCCGGTCAAGGGCATGTACTTTGGTTGTGGGCACATCCACAGTGGGGGGTGTGCAGGAGGCAGCTGATCGATGTTTCTAACTCTCTATCTCTCTCCCTTCCTCTCTGTAAAAAAATCAATAAAATGTTTAATACTTTCATTGTAAAATGATAATATTTCTTTTTGTTTTTTAGATGGTATCGGGCCCCTGAGTTACTATTTGGTGCTAGAATGTATGGTGTAGGTGTGGACATGTGGGCTGTTGGCTGTATATTAGCAGAGTTGCTTCTAAGGGTAAGTCTTGAGATGCTGTACACACCTCAATATTGTTATAGGTACTTGTTTTTATTATTTATGGAGGAATTATCTTCTTAGAGATAATTTCCAGAGTGTAGCACCATCCTTAAAACAAAAAGCCAATAAACCAATTAAAACAAAATCCCCATCCCTACTACAACCTTTTTATTAATGCTAATGTGAGATAGGATAATAAAGGTTTTATTATTGATCATTCCTATGTTCTGAAATATAACTATAATAAAACCTTCATTAGATTGTAACATGGTAATGTCTCTGCAGTAACTAAATGTATCAGGATGAACTTTTGTACTCATGGGACTTTGGGGTGTTTAAATGTATACTTTAAGAGCTATGCAATACCAACCACAGCAGCTACAACTCTGTGTTACTAACTTAAACCTTAAACCTTGTATGAGAGGATTGTTTTAGTTCTCTTCAAGCAAAGCAGACACTGTGATCCTATACCATTTTTCTGAGTGAGACCATACTAGGGATGGAGCCCACAACCTGGGTATGGAACCCACAATCCTGGGCATTTTCCCAGACCGGAAATCGAACCATGACCTCCTGGTTCATAGGTCGGTGCTCAACCACTGAACCACACTGGTTGGGCAGTGTTTCATATTTTAAGCTGTCCCTTTGCTCTTTGAAAATATCATCGATGGAAATGCTTTCCATACAGTTCTAGATCTGTGGTGAGATCTGTAGTACAAACATAATAATTGAAAATAGAATCATTACATAATATTGTTTTATTGTATACTAGAGTCCCTGTGCATGAAATTCGTGCATGGGTTGGGTCCCTAGGCGTGGCCATTGATCAGGGCTGATTAGGGCCTTCTGGCTAATGACCAAGGCCTTCCTTCATTCTGCGCTGCCCCCTGGTGTTCTGTGCACATCATAGCAAGTGATTGAACTCCCAGTCTCCTGATCGAATTCCTGAAGGCTTATATATATATTAGCCTTATATATGTATGTATGTATGTATATATATACACACACACACATATACACACACACACACACACACATATATATATATATATACACACACACACACACACATATATATAGAGAGAGGGGGGGGGAGAAGATAATTACAAATTACATATTTTAACTATATAATTATGTTATATTGTATAATATTGATAATTATATAATATTGAATGCAGAATAGTTAATAGATTCACTATTATAAGCTTTCAACTCTTCTTAAAGTTTTGACTTTTATTTAAATTTTATAAAAGTAAGTTTAAAAAGCTACTTAATCTAGAAAATAGAGGATCAATAAGTAAGCCTATATTCTACCAAAATAATCAATGTAATTAAAACATTTTAGAAGAAAATTGGTCTGTATTCGGAACCTCCTCTGTTATTGTTAAATAAACTGTTTATTTGTGGAGTGATACTTAACTTGGCAGGGCAAGACTTATCCATTTCACCCCTGTGATTTCCCCAAATGTGGGAACTCAGCGGTATAATTTATGGTATGGGGGACTGCATTCATGGGAAAAAATAAAAGATTTGTGGAATGAATAAAATGGTCCTGTTTACTGTTTTTAGCAACGACAGGACCTAAGGCCACATCCAGTATACCTAGACTACATTTTAATTTTTGTTATAATTTTGTTTTTCTTATTTAATGTATAGTTTCATTTGCATAATGACTATTACAAACCACTTTGAAATATTTGGCTCTCTCTTTCAGGTTCCATTTTTGCCCGGAGATTCAGACCTTGATCAACTAACAAGAATATTTGAAACATTGGGCACACCAACTGAAGAACAGTGGCCTGTAAGCGTTCATACATTTTCTTTGAAATTTGGTTAGGATTATATATAGTGCTGTCACGTAAATATTCCTTAAAGAAATGTGTTCATTGTCTTTTACTTTACTGGTGATTAATTTAGTAATTTGAGTTGCTAAATGTTATATGTACAGTTCATTAAAATATCCTCACTTGTTCATAAATTAAAATTATAGACTTTTTTATTTTCCTTATTATAGCCTCATCTCCTGGGAAATAAATACTAAAAAAGGGAAATTTTAATTAGACTGTTATCTTCTGCAGTGAAATTAACTAAAGCTGGATTTAGGTCAAATGAGTTTATTTTCTGCTATTATTTCCTCAACTTTCTAATTGAAAGTTTGCTATGTGTTCAAATTATAAGACCTCCCCTATTATCATTTATTGATAAAATTTATTTATCAATTTTAGATGTGATCCTTTTTCAGTTAGTTTTTTTTTGTGTGTGTGTTTTTGTTTGTTTGTTTTTCTTTTTTTAATCTTTATGTTGAAAGTAATACTTTCAATACTTTGAGGTAGTTTTTGTATGAGTTGTGAGACTTAGGTCAGGGTCAGTTTTTAAGTCTTGAAATCAGATAGCATGATTCTGCTTACTTTTTCTCTTTTTTAAAAATTTTTTTAATTTTATTGATTTTTTTACAGAGAGGAAGAGAGAGGGATAGAGAGCTAGAAACGTCGATGAGAGAGAAACATCGACCAGCTGCCTCTTGCACACCCCCTACCAGGGATGTGCCCGCAACCAAGGTACATGCCCTTGACCGGAATCAAACCCGGGACCTTTCAGTCCACAGACTGATGCTCTACCACTGAGCCAAACCGGTTTCGGCACTTTTTCTTTTTTTATACTTATTTTATCTATTTTAGTTCCTTTGGCTCCTACATAAATTTTAGAATATATATATAAAGGGCTAAGTATCCATCTGTCCGACCAGTCGCTACGATGCACACTGATCATCAGGGGCCAGACACTTAATGCAGAAGCCGCCCACTGGTGGTCAATGAGCTCCCACAGAGGTAGCACCATTTAGCCAGAAGCCAGGCCCTCTCCCGCCTCCACAGCAACACTAAGAAGCAGCGAGCAGGTGGGCAGTAAGGAGTGAGGGGTCCCAGTGAGGGAACCCCTGCCCAGTGCACAAATTTTAGTCTATATATACAAAAGCCTAAGCAACTGGTTGTCTATATATACAAAAGCCTAAGCAACTGGTTGACTAGTCGCTATGATGCACAATGACCACCAGGGGGCAGAAACCCAACTCAGGAGCTACCTCCTTGTGGTCACTGTGCTCCTACAGCCAACCTCCCGCAGCCCCTCCCCCTGGCTTGCCAGCCTCCCATGGCCCCAATCACCAGCCAGGCCAATTTGTGCACTGGGACTCTAGTTTAAAAATAAACGACACCACAGACCTGGTGCCGATAAACCAATACTCGCTTTCCCCCAAGTGGGACACAGGCCCCACCACCACCCCAGAATGACACCCCACCAAATCGCAGCCAATGCTGCCAAGATCCCATGGCACAAAATGTGGCTCACAGCCCAGCCCCGCCTGAAAACGGTGACTGTGGGTTCCAGGTAATGATGTCACGTACAGCACCCGGCTTCCTCTCCCTAGTGACTAGTATCCTTGGAGTTTCTTCAGACTAGAAACCTGCTTGCTTTATAGCCAGGTGCAAACATTTTACAGTTTAACCAGATGTTTGTGAAGCGTTTTCCTCTGTCTCATTTGATCCTCACATAAGTCCTTGTATAGGTAGATAGGAGACTCTGTAGAATCCTATTTTCTTTTCATTAGGAAAGTGTGAATAATGCTATTAAAATATTTCTTCTAATTAATTTCCTTTCAATGTGCATGAATTCATGCACCAGGATGCAGTCTTATATAATAATTTTGCCAGAATGTTGGTAAGAATTGCATTAAACCTATCTATAAATTAGAGGAGGAATAACATCTTTATGATTATGAATCTTTCAATCCATGAACATGATAAGTCTCACCATTTATTTAGAGCTTTGATTTATTTCATCAATGTTGTGTAGTTTTCTGTATAGTTCTACACGTGCTTTTTAGATTTTTACCTAAGTTTCATTGTTCTTTCTGAGTGATTCTAAATGGCATTTTTAAAATCTCATTGCTAATATATAGAACTACAATTGATTTTTGTACATTTATTTTGTGCAATTTTACTCAGTTAATCTAGGAGTTTTTATATGTATTTCTTGGGATTTTCTACATAGATTATGATATCATCTGTGACAGTTTTATTTCTTCATTTGAGATCTATATGCCTTTTAATTCTTTAAGTTTGAATTACAAAATATTTTAACAGGACATGTGTAGTCTTCCAGATTTCGTGACATTTAAGAGTTTCCCTGGAGTCCCATTACCACACATCTTCAGTGCAGCAGGAGACGACTTGCTAGCTCTCATACAAGGCTTATTCTTATTTAATCCGTGTACTCGAATTACAGCTACACAGGTATTTTAGCATATCTTTCTTGTATTGGGAAATATGAGGGTCATCTTAACTGTAGCACTGATAAGATAAAAATAGGACTTCATAAGATTGTCTAACATTCTTTACTAAACTGGAAAGATGTGTTTTTGTTTTAAGAATAACATTTTATCTTCAAGCTACAAGCTCTATTCAGATTGGTATTAAATTATGTGTGCACAACTACAGGACAGTTTATTTGGAACATATACATATCAATTTCATAATTAATTGGCTTTCAAGTAGTCTTCCTAGAGAAGAAAAAGTAACAAGGTTTGTGTTAAGACACTGGTATTTTTCTTTTTTAAAATATGTTTTTATTTCAGAGAGAAAAGGGAGAGGAAGAAAAACATAGAAACATTAATGATGAGAGAGAATTACTGACAGGCTGCCTCCTGGAAGCCCCCTAACAAGGGATCAAGCCCACAACCAAGGCATGAGCCCTGACTGGGAATTGAACTGAGAGTTCAGGTTTATAGGTTGATGTTCAACCACTGAGCCACAACCAGCTGAGCAAGACACTGGTATATTTCAATGAGACGTTTGATGTATAATAGAAATGTGCCAACCCTAATGCCTAAAGCGTTTTGTTGTTTCCCATAAAATACAGTCCAGATATGCACACTAGCCATTATTACAGTCCGAAAGTGAAAATGGGTAGAAAATGGTATAGTTCAGTAAACTGTGCTTACAAGGGATTGGAAAATAGTCCAAATAGAACAAACACTGAAACTGACAGTTATTTAAAGAAAATAAGAATCAAACTCACCCTAGTTAGTTTGACTCAGTGGATAGAGCATCGGCCTGCAAACAAGGGTCCGAGGTTCGATTCCAGTCAAGGACACATGCCCGGATTGTGGGCTTGATCCCAGTAGGGGACATGCAGGAGACAACCAATAGATGATTCTCTCACATTATTGATATTTCTACATCATTGATATTTCTCTCTCTCCCTCTCCCTTCCTCTCTGAAACCAATAAAAACATTTATTTTTTTTAAAAAAAGGAATGAGGCACCGATACATGCCACCACCCAAATAAACCTTGAAACATAAAAAATAATCAAACTCAAGAAAAACTTGAAAGACCAAGTATATCTGCTCTTATAAAAGAAGAGAGAAATGTTACACAACAAAAAAATATAAGAACTATAGCTGTGAGAAAAACAAAACACATTTTCCTTGTTTAAAAACAAGCACACAGCCCTAACTGGTTTGGCTCAGTGGATAGAGTGTCGGCCTGCGGAATCAAGGATCCCAGGTTCGATTCTGGTCAATGGCATGTACCTTGGTTGCGGCCCATAGCCAGTGGGGAGTTTGCCAGCAGCAGCTGATGGATGTTTCTCTCTCATCAATGTTTCTAACTCTATTCATCTCCCTTCCTCTCTGTAAAGAATCAACAAAATATATCTAAAAACAAGCACACAAACAGAAAGGGTAGAATCACAAACACTTAAAATCGGGGCAGGGATATGTAAAACTGTAACAGCGCAATGATTTGGCTTCATAAAGGAAGAGACTGATTAAAATGAAATGTCAAGTCTTCCGATCTAACAACACTTGTTAATGCACAATATATCAAGGATACAAAGTGGACTTCTTTCACTTGTTTATTGCAGATTACCAAATCACTTTTATATATTTACTTCTATAAGCCTTCTCTTTTTATGTAAATGCTACATTAATACATAAAACTACCTTTTCACCCATATGTAGATGCATAAGAAACTTCAGATCAGGTCAAATTATCTAGAAAGTTGTTTTCATTAATAGTAAAACTGTTGTGTTTTGAACTATAGAACCCATAATGCATAGAAAGCTGAATTACATAATATCTTATTAAGGATATTTCATATTTAGTATAGACTGTAATTGTGGAAAATTAAAAGGTAGTCTTTCTTACAGTAATAGAATTATCAGTCAATCTTGGGCTCCTAGATGTTTTTTTTGGTAATAATTTGCTTGTCTAAATACTTGACATTAATTTCATTTTTTGGAAGCAGGGGGCTTCACATAGCACTTTTAATATCCCAACAATTTAAGGTTAGATTTCCTTAAACACAATCCAGATACTCGTTTAAAAGTTTACTTTCTTTGCTATCTGTTCTTTTAAAAGGCATTGAAAACTAAGTATTTCAGTAATCGGCCAGGGCCAACACCTGGATGTCAACTGCCTAGACCAAACTGTCCAGTGGAAACTTTAAAGGAGCAGGCTAACCCATCTCTGGCAACGAAACGGAAGAGAACCGAAAACTTGGAACAAGGTAAAAACTCTCAGTTTTATAAGAAATGCAGTGAATTCAGATAGAATGTGGTGTTTTTAGCTGCATTTGTTGAAATTCCATTGAGAATATTTACATCATGCTCTTTAAAAGGACCAGAATACTTGAGTGTACCTCTGAGTAACCAGAACTATCGATGTGTACCTTCTCTTCATGAATTCCTACTGTTATCCTGTATGCTTAATGTTTAACAAATGTTATTGGAAAATTTAAAGCAAGTGAAATAAATGTAATGGGAATGCAGTGACTGCTTAAAATTGCCATAAACTTAAATGTGAACAACCTCTTTTTCTTTTTTTTTCACCTAGGAGGATTACCCAAGAAGCTAATTTTTTAGTTACAGATAACACTGGACAGTATTTCACTACTGAAGGAAATAGTAAAAAAGGCAAAAAAAAAAAAAAAAAAAAAAAAAAAGTATATATTAAGTAAATGCTATAGAAGGAATTGTAAATATTCTACACTTGTAAAATATGTAAAACTATTTTTATTAAATGTATTTTAAAACAAACTTAATTTTGATTTTTCTGATTAGAGTGCACAAATAAGTTCAGTTCTCTGAAATGCATTAAGGAAATAAAAATAATTTCTAGTTATTTTGATGATCTGGCTCCTATAACATCACAAAGTTGTAGTAATAAGGACAATATAGTAGTAATGTAGCAAATACTTTAGCTAATACGCTAAGTAGGGAAAAAAAAGAAAAACTATTACAGATAAAATTGAAGTCTTTAATATGTCATTCTATTCAGTTTCTCCTTTTCACCCTACCCAAAGGAAAATGACTCAGGAGATGAGTGTGTCCTCCTTGATTTTATACTGCTATTTTATAAAATTACATGTAGTAATACACAGCATTGTTTTGGGTCTCAAATTTTTATGTGATAGATTGTATATCTCATCCTGCAAATTTTTACTCAAAACTTTTAAATTTATTCTAATATATATACATCTACTTTAAGTGTCCTATCATATAGCATACTAAAGGCCCAGTGCACAACATTCATGCACCCGGGCAGTGGGGGGGTTTCCTCAGCCCAGCCTGCGCCCTCTCACAGTCCAGGACCCCTCAGGGCATCCTCAGCACTGCTGCTGAGGTGGGAAAGGCTCTGGCCACCACCTCTGCACTGGCTGTGAGCCTGACTTCTGGCTGAGTGGCACTCCCTCTCTGGGAGCACACTGACCACCAGAGGGCAGCTCCTGTGTTGAGTGTCTGCCCCCTGGTGGGCACTGAGCATTGTAGTGACCAGTCATTCTGCCATTTGGTCAATTTGCATATTGCTTTTTTATTATATAGGAGGATTATGTCTGATATGTGTACAATACTTACATATGCTCTATTTATGGACTTTTTTTATTTTGCTGCATAAAAATTACCATAAATATAGCAACTTAAATTAACAAAAATTTATTAGCTCACAGTTTTGAGATAAGATAGGCCAGAATCAAGGCATCAGTGAGACTGGGTGCTTATCTGAAGCTCTAAGAAAGAATCTGTTTTCAAGCTCATTTATGATTTTTTAATGCGTATGCCATCTGTCCTTCCCAGCTGTCAGGGACCTCTCAGCTTCTCAAGGCAATGCACCTGCCTTGTCATATGGCATTTTCCATCTGCAAGCCAGCAACAGTGCTTCAGGTTGTCTGTCTTCCTCATCAGCTACTAAGAAATCTCTGCTTCTTAAACAAAATGGGTAGGGGAGCTGCTCACCTAATTGGATTATTCATATATTAAGGTCAACACACTTGGATTGTAAATACATCTTAAAAAATCTCTTCATGGCAGTTACCTACACCGTCCCTAGATGGGAATCATGAGAAGAATTGTTTTTAGAATTCTACCACGTGGGTATTTAGGTTATTTTCAGTTTTTCACAATTATTTTTTAATATATTTTATTGATTTTTTACAGAAAGGAAGGGAGAGGGAGAGCTAGAAACATCAATGAGAATCATCGATCAGCTGCCTCTTGCACACCTCCTACTGGGGATGTGCCTGCAAACAAGGTACATGCCTTGACTATAATAGAATCGAACCTGGGACCTTTCAGTCTGCAGGCCGACGCTCTATCCACTGAACCGAACCAGTTAGGGGTTCACAATTATTTTAAAAATAGAGCATTTATATGCATATGCATTTTTATTTTTTCTATTTTTTTATTTTGAAATTTCAGAAAGGGAGAGAGAAAAATATCAGTGATGAGAGAGAATCATTGGCGGCCTCCTGCATGCCTCCTACTGGGGACCGAGCCTGCAACCAGAGCATGTGCCCTTCATCAGAATTGAACCTGGAACCCTTCCGTCCCCAGGCTAATGCTCTATCCACCAAGCCAAACCAGCTAAGGCTCCTTACCCTTTTATGTTATATGAAATTCTTATATATACGAGGTCTGTTTATGGTCTATCCTATTCCATTGACCTGCTGGTACCACATTGCGTTAAGTAGCTTTATATTATTAGGATAACATATCTTAATATCTGATAATTATAGTTCTTCATCATCCTTTTTTTCAAAGTTCATTTGCCAAGTTTTCAGCTTTTATTATTATTTACTAATGCCAATTAAATATTCTTCCTTTAACACAACTATAAATGATTTATAGTATTACCTTATACTCTGTTGTTACCTATTTAAGTAGTATTCAGTGAAGCCATATATCTTTTCACTAGAGATCATAATTAGATAAATCTTATCATTGCTGGTAATGTAATACATTTCCTTTGACATAATTGTGATGCTTCTAATATAGCAACATTCCCAAAAGATATTAAAGATTATTACTATGTAATATTTATAGAAATAGAAAATTAAGTGGCCTAAAATTTAGCATCAAGACCAAGAAGTTCTCAGACTGGTCTGAATACCAGAATTCTGTGTAGATTTGGCTACAGAATGTCATTACATCAACAACAAAAACTAGGAAGGTTACTAGCTGTGACTTTGAATATACTTCTGCCAAAGTTCCACCATACTAACTTTTAATTGAGATTAAGGAAGTTTTAAGAAATATTACATGGCAAATGAAAAATACTGAAAAAACAATAAAACATGATATATGTATTTTAAAAATTAACACTCTATCACTCCTAGGCATTGTTGTTGTTTCTTAGAGCATTAATTTACATTATATTCTTGCTTGAGCTGATCAAAGATGCCATAGTCATTCTAAATAATTAAATAATTTTTTCTCTCTCAAAATAATTACTTTGTTTTTAAGATGTTGGCAAATAAGATTTTAAAAATATAATAATGTAATTTATAAATATGTTACCACGGAATACTAACAAATTTCTTATAGAAAACATTTTGAGTATTTAAGATGTCTCCTAGCATTTAGAAATATCCGGAAAACATACAATCCTGAAGATGTGGCAGTGTTTACACAATCTTTTTTTTTTAAAATATATTTTATTGATCTTACAGAGAGGAAGGGAGAGAGATAGAGAGCCAGAAACATCGATGAGAGAGTAACATCGACCAGCTGCTTCTTGCACACCCCCCACCGGGGATGCGCCGGCAACCAATGTACATGACCTTGACCGGAAACGAACCCGGGACCTTTCAGTCTGCAGACCGACGCTCTACCACTGAGCCAAACCGGTTTCGGCTACACAATCCTTTTTCAAAAGTCCCTTGACATAAACAGTTCTCAGTTCTAATTTCAACTGCTTTATCTTCAAAACTTGATATTTTGTGGCAAAGAATGAGATCTTTTCAGAGTTCTTCTATAGTTTTGATCTGTATGAAGATGCTGGATTGAACAAACACAGCCCACAGAATTAAAAATGTGAACACTTGAATGTATAGGATCGTGCAAAACAGAGAATTCTGAAGTTTTCTGCTTGGGGTGTTTTAATGGAAAATTGTTTTTCATGGGATTTTCTTTATTCTCTCTTGAGCCTATGTCTTTGTCTTCCAGTGCCCGGGCAAGCATGTAGCTAACTTTTCTCTGATGAGCCAGAGCTTCTTCTTTATCATTCAGCTGCATTCACAGGAATTAAACATATGCCAGTTAGTCAACAAGTAACAGTATAGAACTATAGTCAGAAATATTTTATCAAAATGTTCAATCTAGCCCTAGACAGTTTGGCTCAGTGGATAGAGTGTTGGCCTACAGACTTGAGTCCTGGGTTTGATTCTGGTCAAGGGCACATGCCTGGGTTTCAGGCTCAATCCCTAGTATGTGGTGTGCAGGAGGCAGCCAATCAAAGATTCTTATCATTAATGTTTCTCTCCCTCTTCCTCTCTGAAATCAAAAGTACACTTAAAAAAAATGCCAAACTTTAAAAAAAAGTTCAATCTGTCAAGTCAATCAGTATGAATTAATTAGGTATCCACTCATTCCCAAGCTTCATGCTACAAGTTATTGATATTTTTTCAAGGAAGAAAACTATTCTTTCTGCTAAAAATTGTAAGTCATCAGAAGGGAGGAGGAAATACATATAGAAGTATATATGTATATAAAATCAACATGTGCTTATCACTGTAAAAGAAGGTGAAGTTAAATATAAAATTGTTTTTACATTTATATGCAAATAACACTCTCCTATAGATAAGCATGTTTGTATAATGTGAGTCTCTTTGGTCATCTGGAATGGGGATAACAGGACTGGTTTCAAGCATGTGGCAATGATTAGAGGATCTCTGAGGAATTGGATAAGTACAAGGTCTTGTCATAAACTACATTTCAGTGCAGATGACAGATGCCCTTTTTCTCAGAGGTGGAGCTTATGTAGAGAGTATAAGGAGAAGAAGGAACATAAAGGTTTATGTAAAGAGGAAGAGTTGAATTAATAAAAAGAAAGCAAAGATACTAACCAAATCTATTAGCATCTTAAAGACTTCCTGAGGATTATCCTGGTCTTCAGTCTTCTTAGAATTGTTTTCTGAAGGGAGCATACCCAACAGTTTCTGCCCTAAGGTCTTCTTAGTCCTTTGTGATAGTGATCCTAAAATTGAACATGAAAATCCAGCTGAGACATAAAAAGACACAGATGTAGTACTGCCAGGAAAAGAGGTACGTATGACCCAATGCTAATTCACTCCTCAGGAGACAGCTACTAGCACAGGTGAGTCAGTGGAGTGGGAAGAGCACAGGCTTTAGTGCCAATATAGTAAATGCAAGGAGAGGACCACAATGGAATCCAGAGCAACACGCTGCCATTCTGTTGCATCACCGCTCCTCAGCTGGCTACCATGAAGACAGTGCCCTCCCGGGAGAGAGTGCAGCCCATGCTATCAGATCATCTAAGTCCTCCAAAGGAGCCAACCGTCCAGATTTGTATGTGATATATCCCAATTTTAGATGTTAGCCACTTACATTATTTGAGAATACCATGCAGACCCCACAAATCATATCTATAGGCCAGTGGCCTCTGAACCATGTGAACTCTGCTTTAGAACCAGAAAGACCTGCACTTGAATTTTAGCCACTTGCTAACTGCATGACCTTGGACAAGTTCTGAGCTTCATTTCCTCACCTCTAGAACAGGAATAGTGCCTGTGCCTCAAGGTTGCTATGTTATTAAATAATAGAGCATCCATTGCGGAAGGAGAGTGGGCAGTTAGCATTTAATGGGTACAGAGTTTCTATTTGGAAAAATGAAAAAGTTCTGGAAATGGATGGTGGTGATAGTCACACAACAATGTGAATATGCTTAATGTTACTTAAAAATGGCTAAGGTGGTCATTGTTTTACCACCAAAACAAAAAAACTGACAGTTGTGAAAGCATCTAGCCCAGGTACTGACAATGTTGAAAAATCCACAATTGGAAGTATGTCACTAATGCTCTCCTTCATCCATAGAATAATTTGTAACACAAAGTACAAAATTAATAGATTTATATAGAGAAAATGTCAAGATTGTTTTTGGAATGCTTTACAAATGGTCTGCTGGGAAACCTGGAGCAGATAAACCACAGTGAATGGGACTCACACTGATCTCTTCTGTGAGCAACTGTGGCAAAGGAGAAACACCAGACCAGCTGACCCACTCGGCAACTTCAATGCCTGGATGAATCTGTCTCTACATTCAGCCTACAAAAAGGACCTGTGCTTGTCTCACAAAGAAAAGTTGATTCCTGAAGTGTTAACCACACAAAAGAAAATAATCGTCCTATATCTGCTCAGATTATTGGAATATAGTACTAGTAAAAGTGATCAAAATCTTGTCACGAAGAAACTCACAGTTACTCAAACTTGTAAGGACTTGTAAAGTCTTTTCAGAGATGAATCAATCATTTTAAATTCTGCTTCTAAATCTCTGCTTTAAGGAAAAGCAAAGACTGGGAGCTACACATATCAAATAATTTATGGGAAAGTTCCTAAGGTTTATTACTAGCTAAGAAAGGCAGGAATTCTGGAAAATAAAATGAGTCCAGCTCTAGCCGGTTTGGCTCAGTGGATAGAGTGTAAGCCTGTGGACAGAAGGGTCCGGTTTTGATTCCTGTCAAGAACATGTACCTCGGTTGCAGGCTCCTCCCCAGCCCTGGTCAGGGCATATGCAGGAGGCAACCAATCGAAGTGTTTCTCTCACATCAGTATTTCCCCCAGTAGTGGGGGTGCAGAAGGCAGCCAATCAATTTTCTTTCATCAATGTTTCTCCCCTCTCCCTTCCTCTCTGAAATCAATAAAATCAATAAAAATATATTTTTTGGGGGGGAAGGGGGAATATATATATATATATATATCTCCATCCATCCATCCTTGGGTGAGGATTAAAATGTAAATAAATAAAATGAGTCCGGCCCAGATGGTGTGGCTCAGAGGTTGAGTGTCAACCTATAAACCAGGAGGTCACAGTTCAGTTCCTGGTAATGGGCTCCATCCTCACTAGAGGGCATGCAGGAGGCAGCCAATCAGTGATTCATCATTGATGTTCCTCTTCTCTTTAATCAATAAAAATATATCTTTTTCAAAAATACATTTTATTGATTTTTTACAGAGAGGAAGAGAGAGGGATAGAGAGTTAGAAACATCGATGAGAGAGAATCATCGATCAGCCGCCTCCTGCACACCCCCCGTCGGGGATGTGCCTACAACCAAGGTACGTGCCCTTGACTGGAATCGAACCTGGGACCCTCCAATTCGCGGAACGACGCTCTATCCACTGAGCCAAACCGGTTTCGGCAATAAAAATATATCTTAAAATAATAATAAAATGAGTCCATACTCAAGTGCTGAAATGAGTACAAATCTACCTCTTAAAAGTCCAGCTTGGCCTACGTAGCACTACCCTTATAGCCTATATCCATACATAGTTAGTGGCCCTTCTATGCCAGTGACATAAGGTTACTTTTTAATCATGTCTTCCCCCCTCCTTTTCTTTCATCACTCTTCTCCCTACAATGCTGCCCTTAAAGAGTATACCTTTAAATAGTTGCAGTGTGGCTCCTATAAAAGGCATAGCAGAGAGAAGAGATGCCCCAAAGGATGATCGCCCACACATTTGTTGTCCATGGTAGAAATAGATACTCTTAATGTTTCCCTCTGATTCCTAAAAGGCTAAATACATGGACTATGTTTTATTTCCCTGGAAAAATCACCTACCTTGAGTTGGACATTGAAGTTTTTGTCAAGGAATTATAGAAAACCATATAAATATTGATTTTTGTACTTCCTATAAATTACTGTTGAGGACTTCATTATATTTGCTTAATGGCCTCTATAAGTCTCATGTCACAAAAACTTTTAGAAGTTAATTTCAGGACAATGCGAAATGCCATTAGAAGAGTACTAAAGATTATCCTGTTATTTTATGGCTTTGTTAATCCCAATAGCTCATCTGCATATATAATATCCAGTGACTCCTTTCTTCCAATAGATACTAAAATTTTAAATCACAACTGTATGCAAAATTTTAATTATATTTTTAATTGTATTAAATATGCTTAATCAACTTTGCTTATAACCAAGAACTTCCAAAATTATACCTGATTTTGTCATTATAGTTCATATTTACCATCCTCTTTAAGGTGCTTCCAATTTATCCATTTTGTTTCTTTTTTACACATTTTATCCATTTGTGTCAATCTTAGTGCCTGGTCATTTTTCCTCATTAATTGTTGCTCAAATGCAATTCTGAATGCATCTGCCATTATGTAAGCTTCTTCTTTTCTCTTCTGCAAAAGTTCCAGCTGGTTTTGAAAGAAAGTTTGAAAGGTGTCAGAGGCAAAACCAGAATAATTCTTGTCTGAATGCTGAGTCAGATTAGCAAGTGCAATCTCCCTGCCTAGCACGGGACTACTGTCTGTCTTTCGTCAATTTCATCTGCTTTAGTTAGTAAGTGCCAGTTCTCGCTGGCAGGAGCTGCCCACTCTGAACTGGATTACCAGAAATTCCCCTTGTGCCTGTCCATCCTTTTGGGCTTCATTATCATAGACAGGTCTTGTGTGTGTTCTGCCCCTCTAGGGAGAGGGGAGGCTGCCAAAGGCTGCATTTCAGTACTCCAGTGGGCCGTTCCAGCCCATGCCACTGAAAATGGTTTTGAATTATCATCTTACACACGCCTCCTATAGTTGACCCTTACTCTGAACTATGTAATTATATGCTTCTCCTGATGAATTCTCAATATTTAGCTGTTAGCTTTTCCATATAGTCTGAAGATTTTAAATTCCATACCTTCAGTAAAGGTAAAATATTTTTGAAATAATGCCCCATGCACTGTATTTGTTATTAAAGCTAATTAAAATGACAGCTACCATTTGATTAAATGCTGGTCATGTGCTAAACATATATCTACTCCTCTAGTTCTTACAACCATCCTCAAGACTAGTTATTACCCTTTGTCTAACATATGTGTCCAGAGCCGGAGCTAGACAGTGATAGACCTAAGATCAAAGCTAGGTTTGGTAACACAAAGGCTCCTTCCGCTGAACCTCACTGCTCTTAACCTTCATGTTTATCTCATTAATCACTGTTGCAAATCCTAGTAATTTTAAGTATAAGTGCACCTTTTCCTCCAATCCTATATAATAAAGGGTAATATGCAAATTGACCCTAACAGTGGAATGACTGGTTGCTGTGACATGCACTGACCACCAGGGGCAGATGCTCAACACAGGAGCTTCCCCCTGATGGTTAGTGCGGTTCCACAGGGGGAGCACCACTGAGCCAGAAGCAAGCTCATACTGTCCAGCACAGTGGTGGTGGCGGGAGCCTCTCCCGCCTCCATGGCAGAGCTAAGGATATCTGACTAATGGCTTAGATCCACTCCCCGTGGGAAGCGGGCCTATGCCATTAGTCAGATATCCCCTCAGGGCTCCCAGGCTGCCGGGGAATGTCTGACTGCCAGCTTAGGCTCAGTTCCCCCAGGGAGTGGGCCTAAGCCGGCAGGTAGACATCCCCCAAGGGGATGCAAGAGGGTGCAGGCCAGGTTGAGGGACTGCCCCCCACCCCCCGCCCTGAGTGCACAAATTTTCATGCACCAGGCCTCTATTGTATAGTATAAACAAAAGAAATAGAATTTAGGGCCAAAACCGGTTTGGCTCAGTGGTAGAGCGTTGGTCTGCGGACTGAAAGGTCCCAGGTTCGATTCCGGTCAGGGGCATGTACATTGGTTGCGGGCACATCCCCAGTAGGGGGTGTGCAAGAGGCAGCTGGTCAATATTTCTCTCATTGGCGTTTCTAGCTCTCTACCTCTCTCCCTTCCTCTCTGTAAAAAATCAATAAAATATATTTAAAAAAAGAAAGAAAAAGAAATAGAATTTAGGAAGTATTAACTACAATCTTAGGCAACCAACTTTATGTGGCTACAGTATTGTGCCAAATACTATCTGTATTTGGAACCATGTCCAATTTATAAGTTAATGCTATTGTATAAAACTAAGCATAAGATCCACTGCCAATGACTACTAAAATGAAGCTAATAATTGCAGATACTTATTTATTCTACTATTAATAGAGAAACAAAACCAAAGCTTTTACTGTTCTGATAATGCGATACCTCTTGTTTGAGCTGAAGCAGCCTTTTCTGAGCAGATGCCGCCGTTTGAGCACAGGAACAGGGCCTTCCTCCAGGACCATGACAGAGGCAGGCTCCAAGGACCGCAAGCTTTAAATCCAAAAGCATTACCCCGTTACTAAGTGTCAGAAATGCAGGACATTACTCAGCTGGACAAAAATGCAGGGGCACACCCACACATACCCATGCACATTTCTAGTCAAGCATCTTATTCAAAGAAACTGGAAAGGAAAACAAAAATAGAAGAAAACCGAGAACTGCATTTCAGGACTCAAGAGAAGGTTCATTACATGCAAATAAGGAAAGAATGTTGTTACTTGGAACAAAAATGTAATGGAATTCTACTTTCCTTCTTTTCACTCTCCACCTTCACCTTTAACCTGGCACCAGTTTCCTATAATTCTGAATCCTTGGCAGGACTTGACCTAGTGAAGCCAATATTAACATCCACCATGTGAACTTCCTGTGACTGGACTTGGCCCTGCTGCCTAGCATTCACTACTGCCAGCTCCTGTCAGGGAGAGTTGCATACTCAAAAGTGAATGGATTTTAATGTCAATGAGAAAAGCAATCATCTGTCCACTCCTAAAAAACAACAACAATCTATGGCCCTATCCAGTTTGGCTCAGTGGAGAGAGAGTCAGCCTGCAGACTCAAGGGTCCCAGGTTCGATTCCGATCAAGGTCATGTACCTTGGTTGCAGGCACATACCCAGTAGGGAGTGTGCAGGAGGCAACTTATCGATGTTTCTCTCTCATTGATGTTTCTAATTCTCAATCCCTCTCCTTTCTTCTCTGTAAAAAATAAATAAAATATATATTTTTAAAAAATCTATGATTATATACCGTGAAACCCTCCTAACATAGCTTCTGCTAAAACTGTAAAACTAAGAAATAAAAGTAAGGAAATGGCCGGAACCGGTTTGGCTCAATGGATAGAGCGTCGGCTTGGGGACTGAAGGGTCCCGGGTTCGATTCCGGTCAAGGGCATGTACCTTGGTTGCGGGCACGTCCCCAGTAGGGAGTGTGCAAGAGGCAGCTGGTCGATGACTCTTTTTCATCGATGTTTCTAACTCTGTATCTCTCTCCCTTCCTCTCTGTACAAAATCAATAAAATATATTATAAAAAAAAAAAGTAAGGAAATGGCTAACACATCCCTTAATCTCCAAGAATGACATGCATGAAGGGTGTGGTACTAGCAAGACAAGAGCTGAACTAGACAAACCCATGGGCCTCTCAGTCTCAAATTGTAAGTAGGATGCTATAACGGGAATGTGTAACAGATGGTGATGGTGGGAAGTAGAAAATTTCCATCCTTCTAAGCTTTCATACCTGCTTACCTACCTCAAGGCCCGAAACCTCTGTAAAGTCACTTTTAGCATCGCACATGTTTTCCTGAGCCGTCTTCTGCTGTTTGATTTCCAGCATCGCAAGGGCTTCCAAATACTGTAGATTCAAGCCTAGGAAGGGCCATACAAAAGAATGTAGTTATGAGGGCTAACTCTGGTCTCACCTAATCTTATTACATCAACATCTGTACTCATTTCTTTACAAGCAATGCATATACATCAGGCATTGCCCACAAAATTTGGCCCCATCCAGAAAGTCTGCTAGAATAGTGGGAATGGCTGAAGTGAGAGAATACATGTGTAACACTAGATAAAATGTTATTACTTCTAATGTGGAAGTGTCTTAACTTTGCAACCTAAGTCTGGTCTTCATTTACCCGGAGTTTTTGATTTATAGCATTTTCAAAGAGAAAATATACAAAGGCAAATTATTCACAGACTTTGTAGATAACCAGATGATGGACTATCATATTTGTTTTTTGTCAAACGTACCAGCAATCCGCCCTAGCTGGTTTGGCTCAGTGAATAGAGCATCAGCCTGCAGACTGAAGGGTCCTGGGTTCAATTCTGGTCAAGGGCACATGCCCAGGTTGGGGGCTTTATCCCCAGGAAGGTGTGGGCAGGAGGCAGCCAATCAATTATTCTCTCTCATCATTGATGTTTCCCTCTCTTCCTCTCTGAAACCTATATTAAAAATAAATAAATAAATAAATAAATAAATAAATACATATAATACATATACATATATACATATATACATATATACATACATATAAAAAGTACCAGGGATCCAAACTATCAGATTTTTTTCAAGAATTTTCACAAGAGGATCTCAAACCATTTAGAACATTTCTGCTATTTACTGGAGAGCAGAAAACTTTAACTTCTCCCCTCTTGTTGCAGGGCGGAGTGGGAGGGAGGATGAGGAGGGGTTGTCACAAGCAACTTCTGTCTGGAGCACTAACCTAACACAGGAGAAATCACTGGTATGGAGAGCACTGTGTGAGTGTGAGTGTGTGTGTGTGTGTGTGTGTGTGTGTGTGTGTGAAACTGATTTGGCTCAGTGGATAGAGCATCGGTCTGCAGACTGAAAAGTCCCTGGTTCGATTCCGGTCAAGGTCATGTACCTTGGTTGCAGGCACATCCCCAGTAGGGGGTGTGCAAGAGGCAGCTGATCGATGTTACTCTCTTATCGATGTTTCTAACTCTCTATCCCTCTCTCTTCCTCTCTGTAAAAAAATAAATTATACATATATATATACTTATATATACATCTTTGTTGATATATATCTTTTTTCTTTTCTTTTTTAATATATTTTATTGATTTTTTTACAGAGAGGAAGGGAGAGAGATAGAGAGTTAAGAACATCAATGAGAGAGAGTCATCAATCAGCTGCCTCTTGCACGTCCCCTACTGGGGATGTGCCTGCAACCAAGGTACATGTCCTTAACCGGAATCGAACCTGGGACCCTTCAGTCTGCAGGCTGACGCTCTATCCACTGAGCCAAACCTTTTTGGCTGATATATATACATATCTTTATTGATATCAGAGAGGAAGGGGGAGGAAGAGAGAGATAGAAACATCAACATCAATGATGAGAGAGAATCAT